CCCTTGTGAGGGGAGAGTTCAGTGTCCTGCTGTGCTGGTGGCACATGGCACCACTGGTAACTAACTAACTGGGTTATGAACAGCTCTTTCTGTGGTGGTTGCCGAAAGCAGCTAGTGATGCCTCTTTCTTCCTCCTAACAGGGCTGGGTTCATACTGACAGCCTGGAAGCAATTGCTTTTGCAGTTACCTACAGATACTTGGAGTCCAACACTCACCTGGTTGTATTTTATAGTAAACAACAACCACTAAGGCACGGTGGAAACGTTCTGCAAGGTGGTGAGCATCCCTTGCCTGTGTTGGGCTTCTTCCCTAATGGTGCTGAGTGCTGAGCAGGGTCCTTTTCTGATGCTCAGCAACCAGTCTGAGTTTGCTCCACTGGCTTCAACATGAGTGTAAGGTCTTGGGCACTCCACGCCAGCCTGCCCTGTGGGTCTGTGACCCAAATTCATCCACAGTTCCACTCCCCTGAGCTCAGGCATGGGATTTTGTTCCCTGCCATTTGTGTGATAAAGCTCGTAATTCTGTTGTGCAAATACCCCAAAGGCTGCTCAGCACAAAACTGGCACCCTCACTGCTGTTGCAGTCTGCAAGCCAACAGAGACAATTTCTTCTAAGGTTGTCTTTTTGGGTGTCAGTTGTAATGCAGTGATGTGTGCTGTCAAACGGTCTGACTTGGATTTTTCTCCCATTCTGTAACAGAGATTGCCTGTCAATTTTTTTTTTACTGCTATGTGTTTCCTTTGACAGTTCTGTCCCATGTTTTGGTGACAAGGAGGCAAGAATTCAATTTTGTTTCCCTATTTAGAGATAAATGCAGTATTCCTAGAGGCCAGACAAAAATGAAATACATTTGACATTTCCACATGGAAAGGTGTCCTGGAGACAGATTGCTCCTTGCACACACATACACTTTACAAAGCGAGAAGTGTCTCAAAAGAAGGAAACAAAATGAAAATGAAGACTCTGGCTATTACAAGGTCCTGACAAGAGCTGTTGTTTCTCACCAACAGCTGCAAAATGGACTCTGGGGGCCAAATCAGTCAATGAAGAGAAAATATGTAAGGAGGGAATAGAGCACACAAGAAATGGGGCTGGGTGGGTCTCTTCTGTGTGGTAGGGGGGTTCTGCTCTGTGGGACCACCTCCTGCTGTTCTTCTGTGTTTTCCTGTGCTTTTCCCAGGCTTGTCTCAGCCAGGGCTGTTTTCAGGCAACTCCATCCTCCCCTGCTTCCTTCCCGTTCCCAGGCTCTGCAGGAGGGATCTCCCTTCACAACAAGCAGCATGGAAAGGAGCAAACATTACTGTGTTCTGAGTCTGTCCCTTCTGCATCTTTATGATAACTTCCCGGAGGCAGGAAAAATGGGCTGCCATTCTGTGTGAGAGCAGCTTGCTTTACCTCAGCTCCCTTACCCCAGCTTCTCATGTGTGAAGACTGGGTCTGAGGGCATGGATCCTGCAGACCTGTGATAGTGCAATAGCTGTTGAACAGGCACCTCTCGTTTCCATCTAGGTGTGCGTTTCGTGAAGGTCTCGCTGAGAGAAAGTGCAAGGCATGAAGGCTGCCTGCTGTTCTCTCTCAGCTGCCCCTCTGTCCTCCTTGGCGGCTGAATGCCGCAGCCCGACGTCCTGCCCTGATCCGGCAGGGTCAGTCCCTCGAGCTAGGGTCAGCACGCAGGCTTGCTTTGGAGGAGCGGGATGCTGGGGCTAAGTGGGTGAGGTGATTCCCTTGCACAGGTACAGCTTGCCCAGGTCAGTCCAGCAGGCTCTGCTGAAGCCTGTTGAAACGAAGCCTCAAATAACTTCTGGGGCTGGGAATGCTGCCTGGCTTTGTGCCAGCAGAATTGAGACCCTGCATTAAGAAAAAGTTCCCTATGCTATGCTCAGCTGCTGCAGGAGAGGGGGAAACTCAGCCTCCCTCCATTCCTCCTCTTCTGCGGTTGTAGACAGTCTCTGCTTTCACAGGGTCAAAACACAGCTCGCCTTTGGGGCGTATTTGCACAGCACAGACAAAGAGCAGACCTAAATTCAAGTTAGGGAACTGATTGCCTTGTTAAGATGGGCGAAATTTGTTGCACAGGAGCTAGACATTTGTTGGGCCTTAAGCGTCCCTTCATAATCAGTTTAGCTGCAGGCTGGTCACGCTGGTATCCTTGATTTATAGCAGAAGCCAGGCCATTTCTTTTGTTGCTCTCAAAGACTTCCTGGAATTGCTTTGCAACCTCCGCAGAGCTTCAGAGCGTGGAAACATTGCGGAGTCCTGCAGTGCACGGGTACCCCTGATACAACAGCAGGCAGCTACTGAGTCTTGTGGAGCTGTCACGGGCTCCATGGCACTCACTGAGCAGGAACATGTTTGTAGTCGTCTGACATCATAGCTGAGTTTTTGAGGGCACTGGGGTAGAGGTGACTTGCTTCTGCTGTGGCCACTCTAAGACCCATCAGTGGCTGCTGCCTGGGAGAGCAGGGTGCGAGGGCGCCTAGGATCCACCATCCTTTGTGTTCTGCCATGCTGCTCCTTGTCACGTAGGATATCTTAAGTAAGTTCTGGGGGAAAAAAAGTTACTTTTATCCTTATATGCTGCATTTTTCTCTCCTTCTCTGGCCAGGGTAGCTGTCATCTGATACAGCGACTGCATGACCCTCCAGAGGGATCCGCATGCCTCGTGTAGCATCTATACACCAGTGGTGGTTCTCCTTCCATTCCAGGTAAATAACACGCTCTCCTCAGACTTGCATTTCTGCCACTCCCTACTGGTTTCAGTGATTTCCAGGTGATGCCTCTCGGGCTGGTTGAGTGTGCTGAATTTGGGCTCTTCGTTGCTGACAACAGTGGTATTTGGTGAAGTCCCAGGTTTAGGACACTTGTGTTACATTACATCTGACTTGTACCCAGCTCTGGCTTTAGTTTAGAGACTGTTCAATAAGCATCACAAGAAAGGTGCGTTCTTAAGGAGAGATTTGAAGGATGATTAGCTTTGAGGGCATTTAGGGGGAGAACTCTTCCCAACCGTGCAAGCAGGCTGGGGCACCAGCACTCTTGTGTGGGAACTCCTTCCATGCCCCAGAAAATGTGGATACAGAAATGGACATCACAGGATGCTTGGCGGCAGTGTCAGCCTCTGGATAGCAAAGAGAGATGACTGGCAAGGAGGGAGTGAAAAAAGTTTGCACCTGGGAGGAGGAATTCAGTGGAAGAAGGCAGAGAGGAGGGTAAAATGATCTTGGGAAGATGCTGGTAAAATGGTCTTTACAGAAACTTTCTGGATGGGCTGCATTCATGCAAGAAGCATCCAGAATAAAAGACACATCAGGAAGCAAGACATAGCCTGAAAGAGCCTTGTACGAGTTTGAGGTTGTCATGTCTTGTGCTTTTGCTTATTTTTCATTTTTGTTTACTTTTACTTAGCGTTTGTATTTGGAGTCCTCAGTCCCCACCAACTTTGCTGTGGATTGAGTGTGACTTCTGCCTCCACGTCTGCCAGGGTCACCAGGTTTCTTGGTTTTAATCTTCTTTGCTGGACTTTAGGAGGCTCAGTTCTTTCCCACTTAATGGAGGTGTATCTTACTTTTTGACTCCCTTACAGTCATATAAATGACGTATTGCATTTATACATGTCTGAGAAATTGGTTGAGAACTCCTCTCATTTTTGCTGTCCTCAGGGGACGTTTCATCACTCTCTGAGGATTCCCCAGAGGGTTTATGGAATCTCACAATATCTTCTCTAAAACTATGTTCTGCCCTGTTATTTCTTGATGTAGCTCAATGTATGGCATTGAAGAAGTGGTAACCCAGAGTTATGTGGTGTCCTACAGTTGGGACAACTTTCCCCGTGAGGCCAGACAGACCTTCTCTGAGGCAGTGAGGGAAGCCATGAGCCCCTCGCCTGCCACTGGGGCTGGTGAGCTCAGCTGTGCCGGCCGGGAAGGAGAGCAAGGGCCTCTGAGTGAGCCTTGGGCTCCTCGGGAGGCTCCAGCTGGTCCATCACAGCATGAGAGCACGAGGCGAGACCTCCCCACGCAGCAGCCGGCGGCTGGGATGCAAAGATGCAGCATGTGCTGAACACGGACCGTGTGGGTACGTCCCTGGGTGCACCCGGGGGACGTGCTAGGCCTCAAGGGTGGCTGTGGGGTGGGATGAGGAGACCTGCCGCTGGTTGTCCACTGGGGAGCTCCTAGAGTGACAGCTGTTTATTTACTGTCATCTTTTCAGAAAGAAAAATGGGTCCAGTGAGTCAAAATGTGTGACACTGAGAATTAAACCCAACAGGCTAGATGGAGGGAAGCAAAGCTGCTCCCAGCAGGAGTCCTGAGTCATTCTGTGCCCCTTAGTGCTCTGAGCTGAGACCTTCTGGTGGCAGCAGAAGTGGAAACCCTGGCCTGAGACCAAGTGAGTAGAAGAGACTTAGCATGCTAGCTCAGAGTTTGCCTTGGAGTGTCACGGGAAAAAGGAAGACACTGAATTTAATCTCCTGCCCCATCTTTTTGCCTGAGCTCTGCTCTGTCCTGTGGGCTGTGGGACAACGCCCAGGAGGGGCTGTGGGGAAGGATGGGACCTGTGCTAGTGCAATGGCTGCTCTTCCAGGGTGTGTTTTCCCACCTTTAACTGCTAATCCAGACTGAACTGAGATTCATTGCAGCTGCTGGGAGTTTGAGGTTAGGTTTAGTGCCCCAAACCTGAAGGCACATAAAGCAAGGGCTTCCTCCCCCTATATCTTGGGGAAAAAAAAAATCGACCCAGCCCTTCTTAATGGTTAATCTTTTTTAACACCAACTCACATGGGGTTTACTTCAGCTTTTCCTATTGAGTTATCTTTCACGAGCTGCACATCGTTCTCACTACTTTATGGTTGCTGCTTGCTCTGTTAACAAAACCACAAGTATTTCAAAATACAAACAGTTACAAAATACCACACGCTCTGACAAATGTCCACCTTTTTGCAACTCTCCTGTGACAAGGAAGTTCCCCTCCTTTGCAGACAATGCCTGGAGAAGCGCGGGGCTCAGTCTCGGAAGCTGGTGGTAAACTCGTTTCTTGTGCTAGCACTGGTCTCCCTGTAGCCACCAGCATCTTTTGTTACCATGAAAGCCCTTTCTGCAGCTCGGCATGGCAACAGCAGCTTGTAGGCTGCTGCCCTGTACTTCCTTGAGATAAGGTTGTAGAGGATAGGGTTGATGGATGCACTTAGGTAGAAAAGCTGCAGAGTGAATATATTAAACTACTGGGAGAACAGCATCATCCTGGTGTCCTGGGTGTTTGTAAATACGATCCTGCCAGTGGGGAAAAGCAACCAGCAAATTACAAAGGCCAGAGCCACCACAGCTGTAAGACAAAATAACACATGTGATTGATAGTTAAAAAGCAAGTTAACTTTTCAAGCATCAAGTAAACTAAATTTTATATGGCTGATTTTGCAGGTTCTTCTAATCGATACAAATGATATATAGAAATAATGGCACTAAATTGTTGGAAAAACCATGAAAACAGGAATAGCATCAAGTCTGAGTTTTAGCCTTGGATTAAAAGGTAACCAGTAAAATCTTCAGCTAAACAATGAGATGAGTTTGCTGAGAAAAATGTAGCAACTAACAGTGGTGTAACATCCATATAATAACATCAGGCACAACAACGATTCCCCTTGGCAATGTCTGTAATGCCATGTATGTGATATGAAGTCAAAAGTCAGAACGAGGTGTTTTTTGCAGAAGCGCGCAGCAGCTCTGTGTGCTACAGAGCTGTTCTTTAACATGCCTATGTTACTGAAAAAGACCCTACTGTAAGGGCTGCACCTTGGTCACCCAGGCTCCCACTGAATTTGCACTGTTGTAACAGGATGGTTGCCAACTTAAAGACTTCCAGTGTAGTTGGTCTTGGATTCAGTGGACTTTTTTTCTACTGAGGCTCTTACACGTTTCCCCAGACAATTACTGCTGGAGGCAGATATTTGACTAGATGGATCTCTAGCCTGAGTCACTCCAGCTGTTCTTGTGGTATTGTGTTGCGTTTTAGCACAATACAGATGCTCTTATAATGGCAACCTAGCAGGAGCAGATGAGGAACAATTAAATAAGCATATTACTGTATCCATATTTTTAATTATTTTTGTTTATAAATGCACCTGAGTGAAACAAGTAATCATTTATGGAACATCCTTTGTGTTTCTCAGAGCTTAAAAAAAAAAGGGATATAGCCAAAGCAAGTTCATGCCTGCAATAAATCACATGTGTAGTGCTGCTGGCTCTCTGAGGTAAGGGGGAATTGGTCTGGCTCAGTGGGTCCCAAGGAGATTGTGGACAAGGATGTTTCTGTTGCAAAACCTTGTGCCTACTCAAGTTAAGTTAGCAAGATGTACTCTCTCAGGCTTATTAGTTTCTTTTCTTTGTGCTGTACTGCTTCCATCCAGCTGATTACATCCTTGGTAAAAGAAGTCTCCCATGTAGCATGTAAAACCTTCATTAAAGGTAGGAAAAAAAATAACCAGGACATTTTGTTTTATGCTCATTAATCAATAGTTGGATTTCTTTTTTTCTTTCCTTTTTTTTTTCCCCTTCAGATCAGTTACTATTTACAAACTTTAAAGCCCCAGGCAAGACTGGGATCTCTAACTTTCCAGAGCCTGATGTTGGGGTAATGAACGTGTGACTAAGAAAATGAACTAAAAATTAACAGCATCTTACATCAGCAGGAAGCGCTTTGGTATTATACAATTTGTCTGCAAATGGCTCATGAGGGTTAAGTTGCTGTTTTTCAGCCTGCTTGGGCAATCAGTGGATTTACTCCTAGGACAGCTACAAAAGACTGCTAAGAAAATCAAACTTATTTTTCAGAAGCAGAAATTTACTACCCAGAGGTGTTGCTGCCCACTGGAAGAGATGACTGACGTTACCACAGTTTTTCTGAAGTTGCAGACTCCCTTGTACTCGGTTCTGCCTGGTAAGATTCGGAAAAAGGATATTTCTACAGAAGGCAGTCATGCTGCTGGATGTGCAGTGCTACACCAGGTGAAACCTCAGCTGCGATTGAGCAAAATACCTGCTGTGGTGGTCCCCGGGAGCACTGGAGGGCTCACCAGCGTGGCTGGGATGTTCCCTCTGCGCTATCCCTACCCTGTGTGGGAGCTTCAGCCCTGGTCGTAGCCCGAGGGGGGACGGAGGAGGGACTCACCCAAGATCTTGAAGGTCTGGCAGTGCCCCTTCTCCTGGAGGACTGCTTTGGGGCCCTGCAGGCAGGCGTTGCTCCGCCACAGCTCCTGTCCGATGAAGCCATAGAGGATGTTGAGGCAGATGATGGGCAGGATGAAGTAGGAGGTGGTGGTGACCCAGAACACGGTGGCCAGAGTCCATGGCGAGGGTGGGGCAGTAGGTGCAGCCCTCACTGAGGTGGTGGTGGGGGGGAAGGCGGCACAGCAGCTGCCCGAAAATCCAGGGCTGGGAGTACCAGAGGTCGAAGGGCAGCCCCAGGAGGATGAGCAGGTCGGAGACGGTGGCGGTCTTCATGTCACCAGGGATGACCAGCACCATCAGGATGCTGCCCACCATGCTGACCATGCAGAGCCCCAGGCAGTTGGCCTTGATGGGGACGAACACCTGCACTGGCAGCGCTGAGCACCGCTGCTTGTCGTGGGGCGTCCACGGCCACAGTTTGCCCTTGCTGCTGTTCCCGCCTCAGCCCTGCCATTCCCCACCCACCTGACAGCAAGAGGAAAAAACTGGGAAAGGAAAAAGTGCTTCAGCGGCAGCATTATGTGCAAACAGGAGTGACTGACACCAACAAAAAAGAATGATACTTTTATTTTCCACAGATTTTGAAAGATACTTTGCTACATAGTTTATGTATTTTCTATCAGACTATACAGGTTCATCTTCATGGAGTCCGACGTTGTACAATTGTAAAGTGATATGTTTGGTAGTGTATCTATAATGTTTTAAAAAGTTTAGAGTTTTTCTTATTATTTATTTTTGGAATGTACAGTATATGAGGTAAAATTAAGATTACATTAAAAACTGTCTTCAATGCAGTAATACGCACTGAGGCTCAAATGGCAAATACACTATTAAATGACTATCAAAAATAGGAGCTCATTTGAATTTTACTATGAAAAACATTAAGTCACTGCAGATTAACTGTAGTAACAAATCTTACCGTTTTAGACATTCAACTGTAAGAAATCTCTGGGCTGTTACACGCAACCTCATTTGCACTGCCAAACATGGCACTTTTAAGAAGGTTCTAGAAAACATCAGTTATCGCGGTATCCTGCGGGAAGGTATCAGCCTATACGTACAAATGACAAATTCGAAATAAAATGTAAACATACAGTACATTTTAAAGACAGATCGTTCTTGCCATGTGGAGGCCAAGTTCTTCACCATTTCTTTTTTTTTTTTTTAAATGAAATTCAGCAACATTATTCTACAGCACAGATCATTGGACGTATAAACAATTACAATACATGCCCGTTCTAATATAAGAGAAATTCTTCAGAGATCTTCAAAGCACAAGACAGAGGTTCCTTTTTTTTATTATTATTAAGACTGACAGAAGTGTTTAATACCATTAAAAATGCTAAACTGAACACAACTATAAGTCATTAATGATCCACTATCTTGTAACTCAAATAAATTAAAAATAGCTAATTACAAAGTGTATAACAAATAAGATAAGATAAGTGTGATGAGACAAGGATTATTTTTTTGTTTTTTTAAAGATAGTTTCACTACAAGCTTTGTGTCACTGGCAATCATTGACATCTAGCAAGATGTTCAATGGGATACTCGATAAAATTCAGTCTGGTCATCCAAGAACTCACAAATGCAAGCTCACAAAACATTGATGAGTTATGCAATTGCAAAGTGCTCTAATGCAACATTAACTACATGCAATCAACAATTTGGTACAGTATCCAAAGAGACATTACATTAAACATTAGGATCTCAAGAAAAAAGCAGCTTTAAGTTTTCTGGTGCAAATTACTACACTTCGTCTTCTGATTTGGTGCCCCAAAGGAAGAAAGAAAGACAGAAAGAAAATGAAAAAAAGGCAGTGCTTGATGCTGGTGGATATGGCAAGTGAATGTTGGGGAAACAGCAAAAATTCAATACTGAATTTTATCTCAAAAATCTATTAACTAGCCAAAATCAGAGGGCACAGACGTCTGTATAAACTGCATCCAATCAAAGGTCAACTTTGGAAATGTGTATTTCAATTTAAACAATAAGTCTAAGAAGTTCTCTCATGCTCTCCCTTCTCTATTCCTAAGAAGTAAAAGAGGCATTTTTGTAAGTAAACATCAAATCCTGGGGGTAAGATAAACCACTTGTGCCATCCCCTTGTAGTCTTTCAAAAACATCTACTTGCAGTGAAGAACTCCACATTTATCAGGTAAGAAGCTTCCTTCATGCATACTCTTCCGTCCAGTTTATTATTTGCTGCCTGAGAAAAGCCCCATCTGTTTTTCAGCATAAATCCTGCTTCCCAAATAATTAAGACAAATGAGGAGGTAGAAATACAGCGCTAAATTGCTTTCACAGCATCAGATTAATATTGTATACAGCACAAGTTTGTTAGTGTAAGTTTTAAATGCGATCTACACATTCTTCCCGGTTATGGTAGCAACCCTTACAACTGTGGGCCAGGAAACCATTTTTATGCTCGTGTTTACTGGTCAAACCCTTTCCATTACACACCACTTGCCTGCCCCATATAGAGTTTGTACTGCAAGAAGGCATATTAAAGAAAAGATTGTATTTCTGTGGCTTGCGTTCTAATAACATGTGTCAGCCTACACCTACCAGTAAGCATTTTGAAGTGGCTGAAAAGGTTTGCATCAGTCCCAATGCCGGTGCTAAATGCCTGTTTTTGTAAAAGCAAGAGGATAGAATTACTTTTAGATTATGAGAAAGTAAAATGTAATGGGCAGCATTCTAAAATAAATCTCTTTTCTTCACTTTATTACAAAGTACTGAATGATAACAGCAATCAGAATGGAAAAGATAGCAAAAAGTGCGAGGATGACAGCAGCACACACTTGGTCGCTCTGTGACCATTGTGTCCTTGTGGTTTGCACAGTGTCCTTGTTGGTGCTCGCCGGTGGTTCAGTCCGCTGGGAGACGAATAGCACCGGTGCGCTGTAGGGGCCTATCAGGTCCTGATGACCCGCCGTCTCTTGGCACTGTCGGATGGCACACGCGCGGAAACGGTATTCACAGTTCAGCTGCAGGCCCGTGTATCGGAATGACCAGTCTGGACCCTTATAAATCTGGCGAGGAAGAAAAAAAACACCCAGTACGTCAAGTGAAAACGTCCTGCGTACACATATACCTCGCGGTATGGTTTGGGCTGTGGTGAAGGTAACTGGAAAGGATGTGACTCCTTATCAGTGTTTTCACCCACCCAAAGAAAAATGGACAAAAAGCTCACAAACGCCATTTAAATGCCAGATAAAGGACCGGAGACTTTTGGTGAAACACAGGAAGAGAACTACACGTGCTTTTACGGCATGATGAGCACACGCCAAATAAACTCCGTCAGAAGCCCCAGCGTTAAAGTGTTTTACTGACCACTCACCATGTAAGTACTACACCATGGGATGTAATACACAATACTGTAGCACAGGATTTTAGGTAATTAACTCTGTATCAAGCTACTTCATTAAGTCTAATCCAATCCAACATCCTTTGTTGTAGCTAAGATACTGTGTGTTTAAAATACTATAATTTATCCCACTAAACACTGTATCAGAGAAGCCGCGAGGCATCCTCTTGTGGTTCTTAATCTCGTCAGATCCCAAAACACAGGTCACTTATCAGGGTGTTCTCCAAGAGTCTCTCAGTTGGCTGATTAACGTGAGTTCACAACTCTTCAGCACGGAGTGCTCAATTCAGTGAAATCTAAATGCTGGTTTCCCAAATTAATTAATTTGTAGCTACGTAAAGGTCCTGTAACAGCCAGTGAAGTCCCATGTGGGCACAATTTTCTGTTTATAGGTATATCAATAGGTACTGAGCTATTAGGTGGGTAGCACAGTACAATTCGACTTCTCTCTTTAAACCCCTTCACCTCCCCCATTATCTGGATTTGCTTTATTTAATTGGTAGCAGGACACAGAAACATCACATGATGCAGAGGTTTTCCCTACAGTTATCACACTGGTAGACAGTATTTCACAAATGCAAACTACCAACCATTCAATGAAAGAAGCAGGAAATCTCCAATTTTGTCGTTTGAAGAGCTCTTGCTGTGCCTGTGGCTACTCACAGACTTAGAAAGTCCTCTGACAGCCAGGCAGCTGAGCTTTACTGCAATCTACAACCTGCAGACTTTTCTTTCTTTCAAGAAATTGCTCCCACACGGAGAGAAGGCAGGTCATCGGACGTGCAGCATCCTCTGAATTCTGCGACTTTGTACCATGTGTTTGGTAGGGAGCAGAGAGGCCACAGACACACATCCTACTCCAGCCACAGCTGGCATGGCTTACTGTCCTCAGCCGCTTGTCCCCTGTCCCTTGCCAGAAGTTGCCTTCCCCTCAAATGTGTTCGCCGGGGTATTTATGTGGTTGCTTCCTAACCCCTTTAAGAGCCTGACTGATGTACATAGCTCAAACGGCAGATTACTAACTTATTTTGTCTGAAGAATGTAGGGAGCATCAATGTGAGCAACTTGGCTGACGGATCAGGGAGGAGGAGGAGAGGAGAGTGAAGTTTTGGCAGGGAAATGGTAGTAAACAGCTTGGAGTGGACTTCCAGGCGGTTTATTTTTTGTCCACGTCAAAGGAAATCGTCACCATCGTGTCCAAGTATCTTAAAGGCCATCTAGACAGTGCTTACTTCTTGACTGTTCCAATTTTCATTTTTGCAAACTAGTCTTCTGTTTTATTTTTATTTACTGCGCTAAACTGTTCTGGAGAGGCAAAAGGAAATCATGCACCTCAGTCTACTTTGTTATTTCCAGGCTTAAAGCATAACCTTTATTTTCTTGTCCAGCTCATCTGGCAATGCACATTGCTCATCAAAGCGTGATTTGACTCCGTGTCTAGAAGCAACACTGACCACACCTTACTTACATACCTAATGTTGCATTTACAATTTAAAAGTTACAATAAAGAATATTCACATGGCAAGATAACAAGCACCTTGGATTATGGTTCACCTTTTACTGAAAAATTTAACAAATGGACACAACAAACACAGCACTGCACTAGAAGTTGTAAATTATGAAAATATGAAGGCCTAAAATCTAGTAAAGCACATGCAAAACTTATTTAATATTGACCTATAAAAAAATTATAATATATCAGAATTAATCGTTTCCTTTCTGGAAGGAAACTTGCTTGCTTAATAGTGTGAAACAGAATTTCCAAGCCTAATTTCATGTCAATTATCAGGCAGTTTATAAGGAAGCAAAATTAGCACTGCACATCCTCTTTTAAATGCAGACTAATTTGTAGCTTGGTGTTTCAAACTGCGTCTTTGGATAATCAAACCTGAAATTAACACACACTCTCACCTGCTCGATCCTTGTAGTTACAAGCACACCCTACTACTGAAATGGTCCTATGGTAAAAAACTAATCACTGACTTACATTAAAGAAGTTTCCCTACACCTGAATGTCTACCCTGCATAAGTAGGGGGTCTCTCCTGTCTGTGGTTCTCTGTACAGAAGTACGACTTTGACAACATCAGCTTTTATAATATTGTTCACTGTCTTCAAACAGCTCTTAGTGCAAAGAGAACCCTTTGTTCTTTTTCTTGTAAGCCTCAATTCTGTACTATGGGGTGGATGTTTTCTTTTTGTCAGTTCTTCCCATTAGTGGACAATTTCCTCACCACTTGAGGTGTCAAGTTGTATTTAGTAAACATCAGTGTAACCCAGAGAGGCTGCAACTTACTGCAGTATTTGTATTACTGAAATCTCTTCTCTCTGTGGCAATGGTTTTAGGAGATACTACCTTATATTATTTACTAACAAAAAGTTAGCATGGTGACTAAAACCATACTGGAACACAATAATCTTTAATCTAAACTAGTTACCACAAATACTAATTGAAGAAAAAATACAATAGCTTAAAACACATCATACCTGTTTGAATTCCGAGTCTTTTCCCACCATGACCTGAAGACAGTAGATAACTGGATCACCCTTCATGGGCTGCAGAACCTCCCAAGTGATTTCACAAGTGTGATCGTTTATTCTCTCTATCCTTGGTGCTGCAGGAAGAAAACACAAGTGTGACAGTGAGCTCTGCTTTCCCCATCACTTAATGTTATATTCTAATGACTTGTAAAATACTGTATTCTATCTGCTATTTTCTCAGAGAAACAAAAGATTCAGATTCAAACGTATTCTTCCTACAGTGTTTTCTGGAACAACAACTAATGATTCACATACGTTTCCATTGCTAGTTTAGGTATCATCCAAGAGAAAGCAAATAAAATTTGGTGACTGCAAGTGTGTATCGTATGCAAAAAAAAAAAAAAAAGCTGCTATTCTTAAAATTATTCTAACCATACTAGGAAGAATTTTCACCTCAAATTACTGTAACAGCCTGGTCACTCTCTCCTGGTAAGCACGGATTCCAAGTACAAACGTTCTTATGTCAAAGAATGCATAAACTCCAAGTCTCTCATTTTTGGAGCGAATATTTTAGGCAATTACATGAAAAGAGCATTCCCTTACTATGCCTACCTGCACTTGGAAAAGGGCTTAGCATTTTAAATGTCCCAAATACAACACAACACCAAAACCAACTTGCCATCGCCCCACCCCCCAAATGAAAAAAGAACACCTTTACCTTTCAAGGCAGCTGGAACAGATTTGGGAGTAGTGAAAACATATTCTTGAGAAAGGGGACCTTCACCAGCTTCATTACATGCCTGGATACAAAATTTGTATGAAGTTGACTCACTGAGTCTCTGTACTTTGTATGTATGACATGGTCCCCTGTATAAGGATACAAACCTGAAAATTGAAAGAGTAGCTTATTGTAAACACAGAAAAAAGATTTCTGAAGTAGCTACAGTATTGTCTTGAAATCTATTCCCTTAATTTCCCGGAATCTAATGAGAAGCCCAGAAGTATTTATTTCAGAGTTAAACAGTGTTCTGGCATTACTGTAAAACAATAAGCTCTTTTTCCAGGGCCAAGTTTTTATTTCGCATGTCTTTGAAATAAGAGTCTCCTTTAAACAAAGAGTACTACAGATTGTCTCTTGGCAAAAACGACCCTAAGCATTTTCAGAAACCCTTCTGCGCTTGAAACAATGGGAAAGGATAACAGTCCTCTCTCTCAATGAGATGCATACACTGCTTTTTTTTTGGCCATCTACCCTCCCAACATCTTCAGCTTTTCAAAATTAGGTAACTAGACTTTAGCTTTTTGCTCCTTAGCAACTCTCCCTCACTACACCTAAGAAAGGGTCACGGATCCAGCTGCTCTTCTCCATCGTTGTCAGAGACGGGCGACTGATGAAGCTCACTCAGATCCGCACGGGAGGCCAGAGTCGCACTTGTAGTGCACACCAAGTCCCATTCTGAGAGCTTTGTAGACTGGCCGCTCTCCTTGATGTTGTAATTCTCACATAGACTGATCTTGGCAGTCCTCATCTGATTTTCAATTTTGGTATCCCCAGGACACAGCATAAGCTTCTCTCTTTCTGCAGGGGTTATCATCTACTTTGACTTTTTCTTTTTTTTTTAATTTAAAACAGATGGCACCTGCACATGACCTAGTCTTTGGTAATGGCAATGAATTTCTTTCCAGTTAAGAGTCTTAATTTCTTTTCCTCTTACAGCAGAGCAATTTCACCTAGCAGATCTATTTTGTCTCACTGTCAAGCTAAAGCTACTCAAGAGATTCAGACACAGTACACAGCGCAGCAGTACTGTTCATTTTACCATTTAGGCAAGGGTACTTGCTGTACCATCTCAGCTTACATTCCAATTTAACGTGAGAGAAGGGATCCCTTGAAATAATAATTTGTACTATACGAGTTTATTTTCCACTAAAAGTAATTGCAGAGAGTAAAGACAACAGAGAGTAAAGAATTCACCCCTTCCAATATATAAAATCCACAAGACTCATTACACTTGATACTTTGACAAAGTATTTAACCAAACATGAGAGAGAAAAGTGTGCCGGTACAAAACATTTCATTAAACTCTTCATATTGAACTGTAAATAAAAAACTATGAAGTTTTTAATCTGGTACTTCCCAGCACAGAACACTAGAGCCCTTCTTGCCTTGCCAGACGAGACGACCTCCTATGTCTGTTGTAAATTCAGCAAAGCATACGGAATTTTGCCCTTCGCTGCCATCTCCCAAGCATCGGACAACAGAGATACAGGGCAAATTAAAGCCAACGCCAAAACCAACCTTCCGTTCTTATCCTCCATTTGAAGGTGGTACTGAATGGAGTCAGTTAATGCTTTTGCAGTGCCCTCTCCCCACTTCAGCTTGAGGGTCTGAGAACTGTATGCAGCACATTCCAGGCGAGGTGGGTCCGGGGGGAGAGGCTTTGTTTTCAGTTTTATGGTGTGGCTGAAAGGACCTGCTCCGAGACTGTTTAGGGCTTGAATTCGTACTCTAGTATTTGAAAAAAGAGAGAATAAATTAACTTGGGATTAGATTCTAAAAAATAACTGGTCATTTCCACCATTCACATTCAAGAGACAATAACGGGACCAAATAGATGGTATTTTCTACAGTGAAGACTTGTATCAATATTATGCTTTGATAGACTGTCATGAATATTTAACATGCAGGAGTGTCACTTTCCTTGCCACATTTTAAGGAGCTGGACTGATTAAAAATAAAAATATGTTAGCACATTTGCATCATTCACTTTAGTGACAAGATGCAAAAGCTCTATCAGCTACTTCAAGAGTGGTCCATCTTCCTGACCCACAGGCCTTGTACCAAAATTTCTGATAGCCACACTGGAGAGATGAGAAAAGGTAAAACCACCCTACCCTCAAAAGAGGTAAATCCATATCTTTGCCTATTATATCAGGAAAAGTTTTACAGGCTTTTTGGAACTGATTTGATTCATGTGAAAATGAAGTGATGGTGCCCAGCCACCTCTCTTGCTGTTTTCACTGGTAACACATCTCTGCGTGCCTGAAAACAAAAGGATCCCGGGTCTGCTTGGAAGGGAGAGGGGAAAACCAGAAGAAGTCAAAGGACACACGGCTGAGGGGTCTGTAGAACTCAAAATTCATGGATAATTTTTTTTTTTTGGATATTCCATGAAAAACAATGCTGGCATTAATTTTACAAGTAAGAATTAAAAGAAGTAGCCAAGAAATTTATTTCTAAACAGGAAAAAGCAGAGAACAGGAGAAATCTGAGGCTCTTTGCAAATCTCACAGGTAGCCATAGATAGCAAAGTGTGTCTAATCTCATTTTGCAGACCAACATTTGGTTGTCTAAAATAGTGTCTAGGTAACTGGAAAAAAGTAATCACAATAATTAAATTCCAAAACAATCAACCACACAATTTCAAAATATTGAAGCACAAATGTGTGTGCAGGCTTATAAATAAATATTTCTCCTTCACTATAGTAATATTTAACATTATGCTAATTTATTATAGCACAGAACTAAGGTTAATACATGCCATTTTTTATTTGCACAAAGAATTGACAGTGCATTCTACAAAAGCACTTTTGTGGGTGGAAGTACAGAAGTATCTCTGCAATAGAAGCTTCTCTTCTTCAGTCTGTTGACACAGAGAGCAATGGCTCTTCAAACTGCCAGCATTATTGTTAAATACTTATAAGGCACACAGAAACAAAGTAGTCTCACATAGAGCATTAAAAAAAGTAAAACCAAATCTAGATGATATCCTAACTATACTGAAACCAGTGTGGGTTTAAGTTCTGACTTCAGTGGGACTGACATTCTCCTTTAACACTGAGGACGTGTTTTTGTAACAGGAATGTAGAGTGCCTCCAGGCAGAATTATTGATTTTTACATTTATATTCTTCAGTAACTCATAGGCAAAACATAAGGGATGATTTTAGCAACTAAAATTCTTCAAAAGAGGTTTAAAATTGATTGATAGATTTTCAAATTGATATTCTTCATGCTGCCACCCAAATACTTGCTATTTCTGCAGAAAAGGCACTGCAAGTTGTGATGAGCTGTCATTAGATCAGACAGTCCAGTCAATAAAGACTGGACATGGTCCTTCCTCGGATGGATTTTATCTTGTCAAACAGATTAGAGGCCATCTATCTATGAAGCAACCAGTCCAAAAACCAGTTATGAATCTGAATCTGTAATCTGAATTCGGTTAAACTGACACATTAACCAGACAGATACAACAATACCACGATAAACAAACTAAGATAAATTGTTCTTGAAAGAAAATAAACAGCACAGCTCATCTATTTGTGATGATCATTACTACAAAGCTTCCTTTTGCTCCATGGCTATGTACTAATGCTTCTCTGAAAGTAATGCAGAGAATAAAAAACATACAAGGAAACAAACAAATAAATCTGCTCTTGTGGAAGAAACAGCAGGCTGTCAAATAGCTGTGCACGGCATACCTGTAGGTAGTATCTGGCTGTAAGCCATCTATAAAATAGGTCAGAACCTTCCCAACAGTTATTGGTTGCTTTTCTCCAAAATCTATGCTGTAGCCAAGGATTTCAGATCCATGGTCACAAGGCTTTTCCCAGCTTATAGCAAGGCATGTGGAAGGAGAATAGTGTGGACTTTCGACTTCATCTTCACTTAGTCCCCGAAGACAAGTCACAACTGCAGGTACAGAGGCTGGAGTCATACATGCCACTACGTCACTGAAAGGGCCCGCGCCTGCGACATTCACTGCCTGCAAATGCAAAGCAGACACGGTTTTATGGCAGGGTCAATTCCTGTTTGCAGATTTCACTAACAAGAGTTTTACGTCTTTACCTGAACCCTGCAGTAGTATATAGAGGCAGGCAAAAGCCCTTTCATTTCACAGTTGAGCCCAGGCCCGCAATAGGAGATCTGCATGCATCCTTCCACACCGCCCCACTCCAGTCGATACTCCGTGACATCAGCTCCGTTACTCACTGGAACCTTTAAAATGGATATAAATAGAAGTTAAATCAAGCAAACTCACCACATCTATATTGGCTTTTTTCACAGGAATGCTACCCTCCCATTTCTTTGCTGACTTTTAATTTAGTACAACACAAAATCAGAATGCATTACTGGCCTTGGGTCACCTCTACTTTAAAAACAGTATTTACTCTTGCAGAGACTACTCTATACAAAGTAATTGTGATTTCAGTTGCTTAAATACAGAGACCATTCAGCATACGGCATTTGGCTTAGGAGTCTGAACAGTCAATGGCAAGAGATGGTCTTCCTGAGAGGGTGATTTAGGGTACCAGAGTTTTCCCTGGCTGGGCCTATAGTGCAGGGATGACAATACGCAAAAGCACACTGGTGCCTAGTGTCTTCATCTTACAGATTAAAGGACTCCTCCTTTGGAGCACATCATGGCTCTTGTGCATGGAAACTAGGCTGCAAGCATAGTGGGAAACAGAAAATTGTGTGCTCTGCCTTTTCCCAAAGTAAGAGCTGTGAAGCAACTGGGAGAGACACCTAAGCAACACCACAGACCTGGACTGAAATGCCTGCTCGAGTAGCCTGTTTTTCTTCACTACCTGCTCTAGGAATCCAAACTTAGCCTCCCAGTTTTGGGAGTTGAATGGTTTAATACTCCTTAGAAATAATAATTTGAAGTACAGTTAAAATCATATGTACCAGTGCCAGACTAAAATATGAGACCATGGAAAGATATCAGAAATTAAGTAATAAAAGAAAAAGCCAACCAAAAAAGCCAACACCCCCCTCCCCCCATCAAAAAATTTCTTAGATCACAAAGGAAGCAGAAGAAAAATGTTGCTGCTGTTTTGGATTAAATATTCCAAGATGCAGATAATAATTGCTCCAAAGCATGTTTTTTTCTTTACCCTTCTCTTGAGAGAAAAGTATTTGCTACTTTCAGCATTAGGCTATGTGAAGACAAGTGACTGAATACAAAGAGCATTTCAAAGGATAACATTTGATGCTCCTGAGCTGTGACTGACAAGGACTCCCCTTCCCTTCTCTCATTTACAATGAGATGTGTTTGGGGAGAGAATAACGCAGCTGTGGATGGCTGTGCAACTGTCAGTGAAGACGGAGTAATTTCTCAATGTTACCACTGTTGCTGCTGTAGATCTAATGCAGTTCACCTTAACAGAAGTAGGGGAGTCCAAGCCAAGGATGACAACAGGGATGACAACAAATTGGGGGGAAGCATCTGATATGCTGAAGGGTATGGCTACCAGAGGAATTTCAACAAGCAGGATCTGATACAAACTTCAAGACGTTCAACCGAGACAAAGGCAAACACAAAGTCCTGGACCTGGGATAGAAGAGTACAGGCTGAGGAGCAACTTTATCAAAAAAGAACCTGTGTGTCCTGGTGAGAAAGTTGAACGTGAGTCAGCAATGTGTGTCTGATGAAGGCGAACTACAGACGGGCTGTATTAGCAAAAGAGCAGCAAGAAGGCTAAAAGGAGTAATAAGTCCCCCCTACTCAGCACTTGTGAGGTGTCATCTCCAGTACCATGTCCTGTCTCAGGCTCCCCAATTCAAGATAGACATTGACATAATGGAGTAATCCCAGTGCAGGGCCGTGAAGGGGGAGTGCAACACGCAACAAAAAGGTAAGGCTTATTTGATATTAAGATGATAAGGTGAAGGGGAGATCTTACTGCTGCCTTAAATTACTGGGAGGATACAAAGATGATGATGATGTCAAATTCTTCTTGGAGGTGGCACAGTGGCAAGACAAGAGACAATAGTCATGACTTGCACTAAAGGTTGTTTTGACTAGACATAAAGGAAAAAAAAATTCTACAGTGTGAGAGAGTTTGCCCAGAGACAGCTTTACCAGGCTGCAGAATCTTCATCCTTGGAGAGAAGTAAAATTTGACTGGACAAGGATCTGAGAAACCTGACCTAAATTTGAACTTAGCTCTGCTTTGAACGGAAGGCTGACCTAAATGACATCTAGAGGTCCACTTGTACCTTAATTACTCCGTGATTCTATAAAGCGGACGTATAACATTGGTCAAATTAATCCTACCTGAACACTGTAAGAGATCTCTTCAAAAAGCCTTGTCTTGTAGACATTTAAAGAGAGCTCCTCTGACATACCCAGTAGGAAGCATGAACTCTACCTTCCAGGTAAATAAAATAGTTTAATCTTATTTTCTGTACAGTTCTGTAGCTCAGATACTTCAATCCATCTCAAGTCACTGAAAAGCTGTGTTTAAGCAGTATTCCCAGATAGAATCTTCCTTTTTACAAGCTTAATTTTTATCTATTGCATTTTTTTTAATCGGATATCTAAATACTACATGTTTATAGGAAGTCTGTGAGGCTTTTGCTACATTATTACTGATCTAATTATATAAATTAAATCAGCTTATAAAACCAGCAAATGCACAGTAATCTATTGCATTATGTGAATATAATCGCTCTGAGGAAAGATAACTACATTAAAGAAGAATTTTAAGAACAGCCTGCATCACTCAGAAATGCAGGGCAGCAGTTGTGGCAAAACTCTTTAACAAAAGAGCAAAGTAAGATCTCAAGTACCTGCAGGCTGCCAACTTACAGCTGTGACGTGATGTTATGATGAATGACTTGAAGGTTTTACCTACCAAGTATTGCATAATCAGGTAAGTATGTTTAAAAATGTGATTAAAATAGAGTCTTAAGCTTTTAAAGTTGAACTTAAAAATGTAGAGGACAATCATGTCAAGATAGGCGTAACATGGCGTTCTTACCTCCCATGACACCTGAGCACATGCAGCAGATCTGCATGTCACTTGAGGGGGCTTGCACTGGTCTGGTGGTCCAGGTGCTGTAGTTATTTCACATTTTTCCGAGTAAGGTCCAAACTATTAAAAAGGGAGTTGATACAACTAAATTGTAGAAATAAAATGACTACTTTTTAAATAACAGTTTACCGTATTAGGGACACATAATAGGAGCCTGAAACTTTGTATTACTTGCTTATAAAATAAATCTTTGTGGACTGTGGATTCAGGATTTATTTCAGTATCTAACTATTCTCCAGAATAGCTGCAAGACTACTCTTCTCTACAGCAAATGCAATCAGAATAAAATTGACACTTCAAACTCTCAGGCAAAACAGGAAAGCGCTATCCAAATCCTTATTTTGAAGTTACACGATGGCTGCACTGTAACATAACACAATTTGTAACTGCCTATTTATACCTATCTAAAAGAAATAAAGGATTCAAAAAATGCTTGAGTTATAAATGCCTCTTTGTGGGTGGGGTGGGATAAAAAGTTAGGTCAGTGCTTTAAAGCCTTAAGCTGCAGACCTCTCCACAAAGAGTGTCAACTGATCCTGACAGTTTTTATGAAGAGAACTTTATTGAACAAATGCAAGCAGCCCTGACTCTCTATCTTTAAATCAGGACTTTGGATACATAATTTAATAAAGCTTGTTCTACAGCAACAATTGATTTAAACACATTTAATAGTCCAAATAGAGAAAACATCCTTGTATCTGATAGAACATGTACTCAGAAGTTAAACTAAATATATTAAAAAAAGAGAGTCAGGAAATTGTTATGTTCTAAAACACCAACAGCTGTAAAAATAAAGGTCAATCAATTTACAAAGCTGTATAGAGAAAATAATTTACTACCTTACTTCACATGAGAATATTAAAGTTGCAACAATGCTTAGACAAAGTACTTAGCATTTCCTAACCCTTTGCCAATACTATTATTCAGATATAAGACATAATTAGCTATTTTCTCCTCCCTTCATCTAAAATCCCCTTTATTATAAACTGATGTTTAACTGTCTGTTCCCACACAACAATAAGCTATGTGAATCAAATGACCCTAAATTAGGAAATACTAATTTTAAAATGACTGTGAAAAGCTTCTTTTAAAAGAGAAGATTCTTAATAGTGATTGCAGTCTCTGGAACTAATTTCATTTCAGACCGCCTCCTTACCCCAGCCTTGTTAGCTGCTCGCAGTCTGAAGTTGTACATCCTCCCTGGAAGAAGGCTGCCTACTGTGCATTCAACATCAGAGCCTTGGTAAACATCTCTGTGTTCATCGGTTTCTGTCTGAAACATTTCCAGACCGTAACAGGTAATGGGTGAACCACCATCTACCTGAGGTGGCCCTAAAAATAAGAAAGAAAGAAAAGCTTATTTAATTTTAACGCATAAGACATTTGGCTCTCTTATGCTTACTAATAGTTGTAATTGAATTACCCCAGCGCAGCTGAATTTCTCTTGCTCTCGGTCTACCCTGTAGCCTTGGAGGCTGGCATGGACCAGGAACCACTGCCGGAGTCTGCACCAGTAAAGAGTCAGATGCCTACAAAGGAAAGATAGATTAATGAAGTCGTCTAGGCCAAAACAAGCACTATCAATTATGCTGCAAGTAAAGGCAAATACTTGAGTCAGAAACAGGATCTTCCATTTTTTGAACTACATCTTCAAATATATGAAAACGCTTAAGTGATCTGGTATGTATTTCTCATAGTACCTATATAAAACGTCCTACAGCAATCACACAATATGCAAAATTAACTTTTGCTTTTGTGTTTTGATACACATGCAAGGGGTAGAATTAAAAACAGTGGTTAATTATCAGTACAAACCTAGTACAGATGCTTGAAATATGACTTGTTCAATGTAAGTTCATTCTCTTTTCCATCAAACTGCAGTTTAATAATTTCTGAAACCTTACTCTAAGGGTTTTATACTTTCTGTGCAAGAACCTCTGAGAAAGCAAAAGTGGGCAGAAATGTCAATCAGAAGAGATTTTTAAAAAATTGAGATTTCAACTTTTTCATTGCTTAGTAACATTTAATGTGCAACAAACTTCCACCTCTGATTTGAAGTGCGTGCAAAAATACATAGCATAACAACACGCAGCAGATGGCATTGACTGTTCTGGATGCAGACAGAAATGAGTCAGAGACAACGCGGGGTTATTAGCTTCAGTGTGATACAGAACAAATGGAAAGTTGGTAAGCCTTTTAGTTTACAAAAGAGATGCATCTTAGAGTCTCATTTCACAACTGCTTTCTACGTATATTCCAGAAAGAGTGCATTGGAAGCTCTGCTGCTTTTCAGTTCCTTTGAAATGTATGTTGTGCTGAACAACTGATGCTACTTAAAAAGCAGAATGTTTCTCAGGAGGCATATGTCCATGACAAGCTACAGAAAAGTTTAATTAGGTCTCTCTTTACTATTCTTCTGTTGATTTCTGACACCTTCAGAAAGTATCAGAACTTTCTGAAAGTTATTTTCTCTTTGGTACTCAAATGATATTTATCCTGAACTAATGGGGTTGGGCTGTGGGGAAGGAGGTTGGCAGAGTGAAAGTCTCCAGACATAGATGCACTCGTGGTTAGGTGACTGGGAAGGATGCTGCCTTCCGCCTTCCCCGGTACAGCAGCAAGCTGAGCTGTGGAGAGAGGGAAAGCACCGTGGCTGAGCCAGCGCTGCAGGAGACCAGATTTATTCTTGCGAGAAGGTGGCTGTGGGCAAGGCTATCATTGCAGGAGGCTTCTACGTGGAGGAAGAACACGTGCATTTCATATAGTAAAGGGGGGCTGGGGAAGAAACGGCAAACACCAAGAATGCAAGGCTTTAAGATTTTTCAGGAGATCAGCTTGACAGTGAAGCCCTGCTGGAAGTCTCCAGAGAGCCAGGGCTGGCTTTGATAGACTCGCTGCTAGGAAGAAGGGAGAAGAATACAGCATGATGTTTTGGCACTGGAGGCTGAACTACACCACATATGGGACAGTACAAGCGTGTGTGTATGTAATGTGTATAGATGAGGGAGCATAGTATGGCACACCAAATTGTGTGGGAATACTGAAAAATAGGGCAACGTAAACATTTTGATTGTGGCTGAGACAGCATAGGAAGATACCAGGGAGCACAACCCTGTAAAGCCCGAGGAAATACTCTGTCCTCCCCTGCCTACTGGGCTGACTTGGCTGCTCACAGACAAGGTACTCCACTGACCACGCGGAAAACATTAAATTTACACTGCTGTCTTGGGTTAGGCCTTAAGAAATGACATTATATCAACGTTTCACAAAGGAAAAGACATAGTATCTGTTTCTGTAAATAAGAAAAATCACTTTAAACAAAATATAGTATCAGAAAAGAATATTCACATTTATTTCTTTAAGAAACGGGCAGAGACTTGAAACACTGTGCATCAATACTGGAACTTTTTTGAGGTACTAATTGTGGGTATTTTCTTAGGCACTTCTGTACAGTATTTACTTATTAACTACTGGACCAGATTTTACTTAAAGACAGAGAAATTTTGTTTAATAAAAATATTAGCTCATATTACCATGCTTTGTCCTCCTTCCCCAACGCAATATACACGTAAGCGATAGGAACAGCCAGGATTTAGTCGGTCACACACATGTTCCCTAGCAGCTCCGCTGTATATTGTGTCCCATTTGTTTCCTGAAAGGTTAGGAATAAGTGTGCAATGAACCAAGGTGTAATTTGCCACACTTCAGTACCAGTCACAGCAGGTATCCTAGCTTCACTAAGTGTGTGCCTGATGTTTATCAAAAAATTTAAGGCTTGCCTTGAGTTTCCTAGAAAAAGATCCAGTCATTTCATAAAGATAGTTTCCTAGGTAAATTTGTGTACATCTGCTGAAGTGAAATATTTTCCTTATTTGGTATTCACATTAACTCGGAGAGAATCTACTTTTAATGAAAGTAGATTAGTAGTAGTTACTACTGGGCCAGCAAGTACATTCAAACATGATAACCAAATAAATAGAAAGATATTGAAAAGCAAAATTTTCCATGGAAAAGAAACTTTCAACTACCACATTCATTTTGCAGACTGTAACTACAGTTTACAATTGATAAAGCTTGTTCCTGTATTCCTGAATGGCCCAGCACCATCTGAAATACTGATTTCATTCTTCGCTATTCAGCCAGATTTTTATGTCAGAAACCCTTTAGCATTCTCTCTCTCTTTTTAAGAGATTAAGCAGGAAACCTGGGGACTTTTAATTAAATCTCCAACAACTCAATACATCACAGAATTTAGAGGACTGGGAAATGTAATGCACAGCTCACTAAATCTGCGTGAAAGGTTCAGGTAAATCATTCCAAAAGTGACTTCATGTGGACACGTGATGCAGTAAGGAAAGCGAGAGACGAAGTATCAAAAGAACCACAGCTGAGACCCCTGACAGTGCGCGCTCTTAATCTGACACAGCACTGGGGAAGTATAAACTTTCATTCTCAATGTGACTGTGTTTCTCAATTTAATAAGGTTATTTAAGAGGTCTAGATTCGTAAATAATTTAGCTGGATAGGTTTATGTCCAGTTTAGAAATATTGTTAATTTCCCTTCTGTATGAAATGACAGAAAAGCAAATAGCAGAAACAGTTATCCCAACTGCACCACTGTTCTCCTTTAAGAGTGATAAATGGAGCACTAGTTTTTCCTTCATCTGTCAGACATCCAGCAAAGCTATGTGGCCCTGTCTTCTTGCCCTAAAATATATGCAATGTGTTGTTTCATTTCCAAAACAGAATACACCTAATTAGTAAGTTAAACATAGAGCATCTCTTCCAAAGAGTTTTGTGGCATCTTCTTTCTAAGCCAGAGAAAAAGAACCTCTTGTATACAAGCACTGATATCCCTATTTTTTAAATGGCAGTCCCTTGCAATAACTTTCCCTATCATAATACACATTTTACTCTTCCCACAGGTGCACACATGTAGAAAAAAGAACACAGCTGAATGCCAACATATGCTCCCAATACTTACCATTTACGCCTTCAGACATTTCCACAACATATGTATTTATTGCTGCTCCTCCATTGTCTTTTGGCAGATCTATAAAAAACAGCAATATTCCAACTAAGCGAGGTAAATTAAATGGTTTTGTAGCATTTGGGGAGAATTTACAAAAGGTGAAATCAACAGCCGACTGGAGATGGGTGCTTATTTAGACCGATAGCATCCTAGCTAGCCATAGCATCCTAGTTCAGGACAGCTGCAAATCACTCAAATTCTCTACTATGTGAAGGTGCCAGCTCACAACCCTGCTGTACAGTCTACAGAAGAAGAGTGACAAGTGAATCAGGTGCCTGGGAGATGCCACAGCAAACGTTTCAGTTAGTCTGAAGTGCCACGGAAGGCTGCCTGATTATAGTTCCAGGGACACAGAGCCTAATGGTCCTGTAATATGGACTGCAGATAGGAAAAGATTATCATACTGATTTGCAAATAAGAATATTTCAAAATTATTTAAGGACAGCATTTCAAAAGCCTACATATTTTGGGAGAGAATAGAAGTCAGGAGTTCTACGCAGAAAACTTGATGTTTTACATTTTTAATACATCACTAGAAATTGAGTCCTCCCTGGTACAACACTCATGTAAAAGATAGGAACCTGCAGACCTATCTTTGACATACAATCCTACTACTCAAAGCTGACAGAGAACGGCACAATTAAAATAATGTGGAAACCCAGCATTTTGGACAAATATAAAGACAGCATGATATTTCAATACAGAAGGGTACTGCTGCCATAACATTACATTATGTATGCGCTGGATGAGATGGTCTTTGCTCTTAGACAAGGGTTACATATCGTGTCACACCTGCTAAGTAAACTAAAACTTCTTATTTGGCACATGGCACTTTTTTGGTTGGAAGGTAACAAATTACTCCAAATGAAAAATAAAATTATCCCATTAATTATCACTCATTTAAAAAAAATGAGCATTACTGCTCAAAATAATGACTATTAAAGGTTTTATATATAAATATTTTAGATAGGTTTTGATTTATGAAATAGGTATTTCTAATAACTTCATACATTATATATCTTCCATACAAGATCAAGCATCAGGCCCAGATGCAGCAAAGCACTGTGGAAAGATGCAAGACTGGACTTGCTGAGTACTACTTATACCCTACAAGTAGTTTTCTTACTATTAATGCAAAAGAATTAAACACACTATTAAACAGAAATAGGTAAGTTTAGTTATCTGTGACAATAAATGAAACCTTTAACTGTTTTGTCTTCTGCTAAAGTACTGCATCAGACAGTACTGTTTCACCTTCTATTTCACAGCATAAGGGTAAAAAACATCTGAGCCTAAGGAAAAGTTTCTCAAGATCCTTAGCAAATAAAAACATTTATCTATCAAAACCAAACACTTCGAAGAGATAAGTTGTTCTTCTCTCTTGATAAAAAACCCCAGAATTTTACTACTTTTTGTGCCAGAGAAACAGAACTTTTAGTACACAAATTAACACTTCTTTAAATTTTTAAATTATTCTTCCCACATGATTACACTATTATACTGCCACCCGAAATATTTTGAATCGGTATTTTTCTCTTAGTTCCATGAAAACGGATCACAATGGCTCAGTTGACTGAAGTGTTACTGAAGTAAAATCTGGTCTTCTATATGCAAAAATATATATATAAAATACATTTATATATAAGTAAAATACTGAGGACATACTCTAAACAGAGCTGGACAACAATCTTACCCCAGGTTATTTTAAAACTCTGTGCATGAATTTTTCCTTTCACTGTGGGTTTTGAAGGTGCTCCAGGCTTGTCTGGGCAAGTAATGTATTCTACTGTCTCACTTGGACTGCTTTTCCCTTCTGAGTTATAGGCAATGACCTGTATATATATAAAAAATATTATAAACAGAACAAATGCACTGGCTAGTGGTATGCTATACACTGTTAATTGTAATGTCAAATTAATTAGTATGTATGCTTAAATACATAATAAATTATCACAAGAACTAAAGCTTTTATATACCTTCATTTTACATTTTCATTAGTCCCATAGTTAGACAATCACTATACTGAAATTAAAAATCCCTGCAAATTGCCAGGAAAAAACAACCCTGCTAAAAAAACCTGAATAACTGGGATTAAGTAAGTAGCGCTCTCGTGTTACTACAGTACCTTCTTTTAAGGAAATACATTCAGAGATAAAAAAAGTATTAACAACAGTAAATGTGATATAAACTCTTCAGTCCCAAGGGAAATTACGGCAAAGGTTGTCATGAAGTTATTTACAGGCACATGAAGGACAAGAAGGTGATTAGATTTATCAAGAGTAAATTATGTTTGACCAACCTGAGTCCCTTCTATGATGAAACAACTTGCTCAATAGATGAGGGGAGAGCTGTGGACATCATCTATCCTGATTTTACTTTGACATGGTCTCCCACAACATCCATGTGGACAAGCTGGTAAGATATAGACAGAACAGATGGACCACAAGATGGGTATGGAAAACCTGAGAGAATGCCAGGCTCAAAGGGTGGTGCTTAATGGTTCGAAGGCAAATTAGCAGCTGCTCACGAGTGGATTTCCTCAGCAGTCAACGCAATGTCAGATACTATTCAATATCTTTAGAAGTGATCTTGATGACAGGAGTGAATGCATTCTCCCTGGGTTTGCATATGACACCAAACTAGGAGCAGAGAGAGATATGCCAGAAGGAAGAACCGCCATGCAGACTTTCACAGGCTGGAAGATGGCATCAACAAGAACTGTATGAGCTTTGACAAAGTCTTGCGCCTGGGACGGAATAATCCCAGCAGTTGTACAGTCTAGGGTCTGACTGGCTAGTCAGCTTTTCTTTTTTCAGCTCTGCTGAGAAGGACCTTGGGATTCTGGTGGAGAGTGAGCCAAACGAATCAGCAAAGCAACCTGGCAATAGCAAAGGCAAATCGTTTCATGGGCTGCATCAGCAATTTAGCCAGCAGAACAAGGGATGTGATTACGCCACTTCACTCAGCACTTTTTAAGCCACGCCTGGAATACTGTGTCCAGTTTTGGCCCTCCCAGTTCAAGAGAGACACTGGGAAACTGAAGAGAGTCCAGAAGAGGGCCAGCATGATGGTTAGAGGGTTGGAGAACCTGACACCGGAAGAAAGGCTGAGGAACTTGGGTTTATTCTGCTTAAGAAAAATAAGTTTCATTGGGGGGGGATCTAATCACAGCCTTACAATACCTAAAAGGTAGTTACAGAAGAGATGAAGATACTGTCTTCACAAGGATCTGTGATGACAGGACAAGACAGGGTAGGCACAAAGTCTGTTATGGAAAATTCTAGCTTAAGAACAAGCTGCCCAGAGAAGTGGTCAAATGTGCCTTGCTGGAAATACCGAAGTGTCAGCTCAACAGGGCTAGGACAGGGTTGAATTGCCTAACCTAATGCCCTGCTTTCTACACAAGTTTGACCCAGATGATCCCCAAAAGTCCCTTCCAACCTAGACTTTCTTGTGATTCCAGGAAAACAAATTGCTGCTGTTCTTTACTTTCTAGTTGTGCCAGCAGTTAGTTCACTACGTATTCCCGTTTGCTCCTAGCAAAAAGCTAAACAATCTTAAAAAAAAGGTTTTTTGGCTTTTGTATTTCTTTTAAAAATAAGCAGAATCGAAATGACAGCACTAATGTTAGTACAGATTGAGAAAAGGAAATGCGAGCTAACGTCTCTCAGACTTTAAGTCTCCCAATACAGTTTACAAGATTAACAATCATTTGGCTGCCTTTGTGCCCTTACAAATGAAGTTAAACAGGCACACTTAGCATTTACGTATTATAATGAGGTTTCCAATGGTTATAAAGCTTCTTTCAAAAGCTTTAAGGAATATTACTACTAATTAAGTCTTTCTCCTGTATAATAAAAATTAAAGACCTGATTAACACAACATTTGTTTCTCCTTTATGCCCTGTGAATGAGTGAACAGAGACTTCTGTTTACTGTTTTGTTAAGAAAAATAGGGTATAAACGTTGATTTATTTTAATGAGAAACTTAGGATGTTTAAGTTAACTATATATTCACTAGTAATTTGTATGATTAACATGTAGGATTACTTTCAAAGGAAGGCTATGATCAAGTCCTGCAAAAGCTAGTTTCAAGGTAATTAGCTGTTCTTTAGTTTAAGTTCATGTGTGGCCATAACAGTCCCAGCTTGGTACAGTTCTTGGAATACACTGTGTATTTTGAATTATTTAAATATTTAAGTAATGTAAAAAAACCCAAGTACCGTAAGATTAATCCCCATCATAACCTTTTCTGCTCAAGAAAGTATCTGCTATCATTTGAAAAGGAGTACTTATATGTTTTAGTGTTAACTCAAAACAAACCAACCAACCCTTAAACTGCTACCTTTCATATTGCAAAGAGATGCTGTTCTTCAGCAGCTCCCAAATTCTTCCTTACGAATTAGTATTTTAGGTGTATGCAAGACAACAGCTATTGACATTTTTTCCCTTGTAGACAGAGATGAGATTATTCTGACTCTGCTTCATACTGCGGGACACGCTTTTAGCTTTTCTCCAAAAATCAAGCAACTGTTCAAGAGTGACTTAGAACACAGAACAGCCTAGGTTGGAAGGGACCTGAAAGACCACCTGGTCCAACCTTTCAGGCAAAAGTGAGCCCAGATGAGATTATCTAGCACCCTGTCCAGTCGTGTCTTGAAAGCATCCAATGATGGGGACTCCACCACGTCCCTGGGGAGGTTGTCCCAGTGATTGAGTTCTCAGTGTGAAAAATTTCTTTCTTATACCAAGATGAAACCTCTCCCAGTACAACTTGCACCTATTGCCCCTTGTCCTCTCCATGTAGCTCCTGTGAAGAGAGCCCCTCTCTGGTGAGGTCCCCTGAGCCTTCTCTTCTCCAGGGAGAAAAGTCCTAATTCCTGTAGTCTTTCCTACAGGACAGGCTCTCCAGACATTTGATCCTCTTCATGGCCCTCCTTTGGACCCTCTGCAGTCTGTCTGTCTTTTTTTTGAATTGTGGGGATCAGAACTGGACGCAGTACTCCAGGTGCGGCCTGACAAGAGCTGAATACAGTGGGATGATCACATCTCTTATCTCTGCTATCAATGTCCCTGCAGATGCAGCCCAGCATCCAGTTTGCCTTTGCTGCTGCAGTGTTGCACTGCTTATAGTCAGTTTGCCCACCAGGTCCCCCAGGTCCCTTTCAGGAAGGCTGCTCCTAGCCTATAGTGGGCTCCTTGGTCATCCTGACCCAGATGCAGGACTTCGCACTTGTCTTTGTTAAACTTGACTGTTCTTGCTAGCTCATTCTTCTAGCCTGTCCAGGTCTCTCTGTAAGATGGCTCTCCCTTCTGATGTGTTCATCTCACCACTCAGTTTGGTATCACCAGCAAACTTGGTGAGGGTGCTTTCAATCCCATCGTCCGGATCATTTGTGAAGATGAACAGTGTGGGGCCCCGTATCGATCCCTAGGGGATCCTACTATCCGACAGGCTGCTGCCTGAGTAAAAACCATTGACCACCACCCTCTGAGTGTGGCCTGTTGGCCAGTTTTCTACTCATCTTGCAGACCACCCATCCAGTCTGTATCTTGCCAGTTTGTTCAGGAGAAGGCTGTGGGAAACAGTGCTGAATGCTTTGCTGAAGTCCAGGTAAATAACATCCACTGCTCTCCCCAGGCCAACTGAAAGTGTTACTTTGATGTAGAAGGTGATCAGGCTAGTCAGGCATGATCTGCCTTTGGTGTAGGCTTTTCCCAACCATCTCTTCATTTGGCTTATAATAGTTTCTGTGAGGACTCTTCCATTGCTTTCCCAGGGACTGAAGTGAGACTAACAGGCCTGGAGTTCCCTGGGTCCGCTCTTGGGCCCTTCTTGTAGACGGGTATGACATTTGCCCTCTTCCAGTTGTCAGGGATATCCCCTGATCTCCATTACTTTTCAAGTATTACAGATAGTGGCCTTGCAACAACATCAGCCACTTCTCTTAACATCATGGAGTGGATTCTGTCCTGGCCCACAGACTGATCTGGGTTGAGCCCTTGCAAGAGGCCACAGCCCAGCCCTTCCTCCACCACTGGTGGGTCAACACGTGCCTTGCCATAGCTACTTGATCCTGTGATCTGGGGTCCAGCTGTGCCAGCAGACAGAGGCAAAGAAGGTACCGAGAATCTCTGCCTTATTGGCATTATTAGTAACTTGCTTCTCTGCCTTGTTTGGCAATGGGCCTATGTAGGTCTTCCCTGTGCTTCTGCTTACTGCTCACGTATCTGAGGAACCCTTTCTTGTTGTTCTTGACATCTTTGGCCAATTTCAGTTCTAGCTGATCCTCAACCTTCCTTACTGTATCTCTGCATGTCCTAGCAAGGTTCTTGTAGTCCTCGATGGCTATTTGGCTGTCTTTCTACAGCTGGTATGCTTCTTTTTGCTTTTAACTACACCCAAAAGCTCACTGTTAAGCCAGACTTCATCCTGAGCTAACAAGTTCAGCCCCCAGGACTTATTAGAATGGGCTCAGCACCATGGTAATATGAATGATTTACTAACTTGGGCTCAGTCCTATGCTAGCACTGATAAATATTTTTTGATCAAAGTTGCTCCTTACCCCAACACTTTCAGATGTGTTTAGAGTCTATCAAAGAACCCCATAGCTACACTGAGTAATATTACCCATGTATATGCAACACAGAACCCAAATAAAAGAACCCAACTGCTAAGAACATTGACTCACGACATGGAATTTCAAGATACCTGCAACTGTGTTATGCCCTTGCAGAGGTTCTTATTCCTTCTGCAGAGACGATTAATGAAGCAGGTGTTCAGCTGATAGTTTTAAGAGAATGAAATTTTAAGAAACCGGCATCAAATTTGGTTTTCCTTAAAAAAGGCCCTGTCCACTTCTGAGTCAATCTCGAGCTACTCTGGTGCAAAAATAACCCCAAATATATGAAAAAAATCTTACCCTAAATTTATATTTTGTACTACGCCTCAAATTCTTCACTGTGTAGGTAAGATCGTCACCATCATATTTTGGCTTGAAACCATATCCCTGCAGAATTAAACAGGATTACTTGAAACATTGTATTTGCAGACCAGACCATGTAACATACTTCATACAAATAAATCACTGTTTCAGACTGTAGTTATTATGCTCCTCTAACAAAGTAGTAAGTGCACCTTCATTGTGTAAACACAAGAGGTTTTTTTGGAGAGGAGGGAAATTAATTTGCCATTCTCCATTCAGAAGAGGAGAAAAGAACAGTAAAGAAAAACATATACAGTGTCAACAGAAACTATAGTTAACAATGTCAAAGGGTAGAACAGGACTCATTTTAAAACAAAGGTGGTGAGGCTGAAATGACATCTAGAGGGACCACACTTCATGATGCAATTACTTTGATCCAGCTCTTATAAGACTTAACTTTCACACACAAATTCACAAAGTTAAAAGTAATTTAAAAGTCTCTGCAGGATTGGGGCTTAATAACATTAATAACAATTACTGTCACAATGAAAAGGAGAAAGCTATGTGGCTTAGTCACAGCAATGACAAGTCATTAGCTTCATTTCAGAAAACAGAGTTCCTTGTAGAATATTCTAGCAAAAGTAATCGTTGTTACTCTTAATACAATAATGTATCAAACACACATTACAGTCTCTTTTCTTATTGAGAATAAGTATTCTAAACTTACTGAGTTCTCATCCTCCATCTCTAATATATACGAGATTCCTTCATCTGATGGTGTTCCTGAGGGTTTTGTCCACTGTAGGGATAACCAAGTAACTCCAGCATTAATCAGCAAAGGACTTGCTGGTGTGGTTGGGGCAGTGCCTGAGGTATGATACAGGACTTCTTCACTAAAACCACTGTTTAAAACAGACAGTATGTAAACTAACTAGACACAATAATTAATATCTAGTAAAACATAATTCTTACTAAACACAGCTATGACAGTTTCTTGGACACGTGCACAGCTGGAAATTGCAAGCTAGTACATGCAAACGACTTAACTTGCCCATAAGTCTGTCAGTAACAAAACATCTGAACAACGTTAACATGTTCATAATTGAAAGAATTCTTTGTATGATGTAATTACAATGTTTTGCTAACCAAAACGTTTTGCTTTTTCATATTAAGTCATTATTCTAAAACAGTAGAGCTCTATATGCAATAATGTACTAATACCACAGCGTCCTTCCTATTCTAAGTGAAAACATGAAGACATAAAAGTATATATGGGAAGACTTCAAAAAAAATTTTGCTTCCCAGGCAGCAATTACGTGCTTCAAGTATACTATGAAGTACCAGTTTCTCTAGTGATTCAGAAAGTAACAGAGTAATAGCCTCATTCAATGTTAAGTTACTTTAAGAGCTGCCAATATGAAAGCCTTATTGCGGAACAAATAAAGTAGAGTTTGCACCTCTGAATCTCCTAACACAACTGTTAACCTTATCTGATAACGTTTAGATATGCCTTGAAGTGAAAATACAAATAAGTTACATAAAAAGACCTACTGTGAAACAGAGGCATGCAAAAGTCAGTAACTATGCTTGCACAGACGGTCTGACATGTATCCAGCTAGACTCTAAAAACACCCACCTGTTCTCAGCTGGCATTTATTTAGAGATTTGCTGCTTCTACATGAGATCTGAAGAAACACTTACAGGACTTACAGGTTTAAGAGCTTAGTCTAGTTTTTTTTAACTGTATGAAACTAACATCAAAGATGTAATTTTAATCTAAAAGCTAGGCATTTCCTAAGCAAGCATCAGGAAGCCCTGAAAACAAAATTCTCTGTATGGCTTAAACAACAATATCAGTTAAATATCTCCTGTGTTGGAACTTGACTTTCCTGAAAAATCTCAATATAAAGATACCTCAAACTTCACTTTCTCTCCTACCCAACTTATATTATAACAACACACATGTTGTAAATTTTGGTCTGCTCTAAAGTCTTTTCGGCATAAAAAAAAAAAAAAAGAATTGAAAGAATCTTACAGACCACACCTTACCAAGTATGTCGATAACACCCAACACAGACATACAGACTGTGTGGACACGCAGACTGTGAAACAGATTGTGAAGCAGGAAGTGAAAAAGTGCAACACAAGAGAAAACTTCTTCAATTTGAGGGGAATAGTATTTTTTGTCTTGTAAAAAGTCACAAGCAAGAAAATCTCTGAAATGAAGATGATGTGATACCTACAATATATCTACTAAAAAAGATTTCGGTATTATTTAAGTAGGCTAGAGAAAGCATGGAGAGAGGCTAGACAAATACTAAGCCTATCTCTATTCACAACAAACTATTGAAGGAGTCACCTCACAAGCAGATACAAGGTAAAAAACCTTGGCCCTTAAAAAGATTCAATCTCTTTACTTGATTGAACCACTCCAAAACACACTGAAATCAACTAAAAGAGTTCCAGTGATACCCACATTTGAGACTCTTAAACAATTCACTTAGAAGTACAATAATGCTATCTATTTTTTCAACAGATTTTATTTTTCCGGTTTCCTTTAGCCACTCTTACATGTGTGGTTTGAATTAAATTTAAAAATGAGTAACTCACAGATAAAATATCTGTAAAATCATTTAGACAAAATTCTGTCTCCAGATGCCCAAGGTTCTCAACATCCCTCATAAGGAATAATTAGGCTCTCTACCCTAATAAATATTATTTCAAGAGACTTCTTAATTAAATAATACCATAAAGACAATAAAGTACATCTTTACAAGGCTATGAAATATTGACTTAAAAATCTATTCACCGTGATTAGTTTAAGAAGGGTACTTAACTGATCAGTGTCTTCTACCAGCTTACACTGCAGGAATCTGTAATATCTGCAGGTATTCCTAGAGGGTACATTTACACTCATAAAAGGGGAACAAGAAGAGAGCCCAAGCACTGAACTCTGCTTAACTGCCAGCTCACTCCCTGTCTTTAGTTTTTTGAACAGTTCCAACTAAGTCTCATCAAGACAAAGTCCAGGAGCAACTCAGAGAATAATTCATTCCAGAAACATCATCCAGAAGGCAGTAACATAATAAAGACTGTGTTGGAGCACACCAAAAGTCATTCTAGCCCACTATAGTGTCCTCCGACAGTGGCCCAAAGCAGGTGCCTAAGGAAAGACACAGAAACAGGCACTACACGCAACGCATTCCCTGAGTACTCTCCAAAGCCTCCCAACTCACACCTCATCTCCTGAGCCAGCTGTAGTTTTCACATACTTAATAGTCTGCAGAAGATTTCTTCTGCCCAGCATGAACTACAAGCCCAGGTCTAGCTCCATATTCTGTACGCTGTCCTTCAACACCATCCAAGCAGGTGTTGTTCTCTCAAGCAACTCGTTGTGCCAGCTGAAGGACACACAACACATATCCTCTATTTCATGCTATAAAAACACCGCTCCGGTGAGCTGCAGCAAAATGCTCATAATATTTCAAACACTGAATGAAAAAAACAAACGCAAAATAGCAATTTTAGGTTTGTGGCTAGAGAAGCCCTGTTTTTATGCCACATAGGACCTCAAGGTCCAAGTGCTACTAGGTAGTGTGGACACTGGCAGTCTGCTCTAGAGATGATGAGCCTTGGTAGTCTCACTATTAGCCAGTTTATCACTTTGCCTGAAGACCAAGAAGCATTCCCAAGAACTAACGCACCCAGTAGTGCGAGCATAACTTGAGAAACCATTAATTTTTTTTTTTTTTTTTCCCCCCAAGTTCTCACTTATATCTTCTACTTAAGTCAGATGTCATTAATTCAAAAATTCAAAACAAAGTCTGGTGCTCTAACTTCGGAAAAGTAGAAATTAGAAGTAAGAGCCACATATCCTAAGAATTCATAATAAGCTCTAGAACTTCAAAAGAATTCAGTGATATGGTCATGTCATATTCTGTCCATTTCCCAGGGTAACAGGAGACTAACAGACACCTTAGATAAAAGGACATATCCAAGTAATGGGACATGGCAAAGAGCACAATACAGATACACCTACAGGTGGCAGTGGGGTTCTGCCAGACTTAACTTCCTGCTCCAGCAGTTACTGACACCTCTTTATACTGTCATCACTACAACTCTAAATTTAAGAAGGGCTTATCAGCCCTTCCAGCTTATCAGCCTGGAAAGTAGCTACACCAGCTTCGGAAACTAACCTTAGGTCTAGCACCATGTCAAACCTCCCTGGAACCAAGAGCAGCAGAGAGCATGGTACGAGGTACCCTCTGGTCAGCACTGCAGCATTTAAACTATTCAATTCTGGCCCTTTGGCTGAGTTGCTTGTCTTTTAGCATGATCCCCAGAATTTTAGAAGCGCTTATTACATCAGACACAAAAGCCACAATTGCACTGAATGTGTGAGTCTCTACAATGTAGTGCTTAGCCAAAAATTCTATCACAAGTACAAGCGGTAGGAAAGACGTCCAAGGTAGCAACTTCAGCGGTCAACGTAAGTCTACAAAGGCTGAAGCTAAAAACCAGCACAGCCTGAGCTGATTTCACGTGAGAGCAGCCGGGTTGTCTGTGCCGTGCTTGTGCTCCCCATTCGAGGGGCATCATGTACAAATGTCTGAGCAAGCTGTTCAGGAAACGAGGCTAAGTCTGGCAGAAGTAGCTGTATTATCTGCTTCTAAGAGGGGCTGAGATTTGTAGCATTTATATGGTTAAGTATGCACATACGTAGCGCTTGCAGTACGTAGCCATACCATGCCTGGACAAAACGCGTTATGCTGGGAATCGCAGAATAGCTGATGTTGGAAGGGATCTCTGGAGGTCATCTTGTCCAACCTCCCCTGCTCAAGCAGGGTCAAGTGATTCATAGTACATGGGTAATCTGCAAACCAAATAATCCAATCACATACTGTGAAATAACTGTGTAGTTGGACTAGATGATCATTGTAGGTCCCTTCCAACTGAATTAGTCTATATTTCATTTTATTCCAGTTGGATAAAAGACACTTTTCCTTAAATGCCATTATGTTTTCCTTAAACAAGCACAAACATACATGCATATGCATTCCGTATTTATGTATATAATAGTAGTATTTACCTCATTCCCATGTCATTTTTGGCTGCTAGCCTAAAGGTGTACCCCATTGCTGGTGATAGTTTAGTAATCCTATACTGCTTCTGTTGGCCATAATAACACTGGCAAAACTCTCCATTTCCTTTTCCCTAAAAAGGAATAAGTTAATCACATTATTCACCCTATTATATATGCATCCGCCAATTAAAGTAACACACAAACATGAAGTAAACTCATTTTTTGAAATGAAACCTAACTCAAGAATCTTCTGTGTAGTGAGGGAGTAGAATATGGAACTTATATTGTACATATATTGAATTAGAGGCATTTTTCCTTCCTTTCCATTTCCCAGTTCTACAGTGTTGGAATAAAAAAGCCATGAAGCTTCTGCAGCAATACCATCTCAGGATAGCTGTCCAGGTAGGGACTGGAAAATGCTTGTGGGGGCACTGTAGATCCACCCCCTTTGTACAAAAGAAAGGCTGTTACAGGAAAATGATCCTTCAATGTCAGCTCTTGAAAGAAGCATTGGACTACAAGTGAAAAGGCCACTATTAAGAGTGGCAGAATCATGTAATTAAGATCCTATTATTTTATATTCCCCAAGAAAAAAATTGGGCAATAATCATATTTTCATAATTGCTTCAGGAATTACGTATTTGTCACATGCCTTTAGACAGAAGTCATAATATTCACACAACTTGATGTGCAGAGTCACATACAACTACTTTTTAAAAACAATAAAATTAAAAATAAAATAGAATAACTTGCTTACTTCATCCCATTCTAAAAGGTAACTGTGGATTTTAGAACCATTATCACAAGATGCCTGCAACAGGAAAAGAAGAAAATTAGAGCTCTAACTGGATACAAGACCACTTAAGGAAAAAACGCATGTATGGGTCAAATCATGACAAGACCAGTGGAGGGCAAACGATGCTCCCCTTATATGATCGTTTCACTTGCCAAGACAGTCCTAGTTCAGTCTGCATCCAATGAATGCTTGTATCATATTTATGGTTTTGTTTTTTAATTTAAACCTTGAAAAAGTATTCTGGCAGCAGTATAAAACGCCACAGTATTTTTCTGAGCAGCTAGATTGCAGGTCTGTCAAATCTCAGTCTTTCCAGACCACTTCATTTGCTTTGCACAAACAAGCCTATGTTCAATGACAGAGAAAGGAATCGGTTCCACAGTACAGTAGGGGACTGGAACTCAGTAACTTTATCTACAAAGGCTCCTTGCTTTTCTGAGAATCCTTCCCTTTTTACTGAAGTCCACATTTAACCCAATATATCTATTTCCAGTCATGGAACTGTGACTTAAATTAGTATGTTTGACAAAAATTTTCCATTTTAATGAAGTAGCATTTTATTGTTAAATCCAAAACAATTCTGAAGAGTTTAAAATATTTATCTTCATGGCTGTTAAGCAATTCTTACCTTCCACTGCAGAGTAAGAGAATTTTTGGTCCGATTAGTTATCCTGGGCAGATTTGGAGTATCAGGTTCACAACTTGTTGTGGTAAAACTCTCTGCTTCTGAAGGGCTCCCCTTTACACAGTTGCATTCTACTTGGACTCTGAAGTGGAAAAGGGCCAATAACATTTTGTTTCAAATTCTGTATGTACAGTTTCCAAAGAAAACTAAGTATTCAGAATTAAATTACTGCCTTGCTACCTCATTATTAAAATATCACTGTTATAAATAACTAACTGCTGGAAGCATCTTGGTCAACAGAAGTAATGTGAAAGAAAAGAGTCCTTTACTTTGGATGTACATCATTACCATCAGTCAGCTTTAGTCTCACAATTTCATCTGAAATATGTCTGTTACTTGCTGTACTTTGGTTGGGAAATAATGGTAACATCTTGCAGGCTCATTATCTGTTGCAGACTTAATTGATATTATGAATAACTCTTCTCCTGCAAGAGCTTTCGTCAGATAAGCACAATGAAGCTGTTGATGTATTTTCAGAGTATCCTCTGCACTCCTTCAAGGCCTTGCTGAGTCTGTTCACCCTGTCCTTTCCTTTAGGAAGGCTATGAATTAACTCCCCATGTACTTCAGAAGAGTGAATTCTTGCTTCTGTCTCACAGAGAAATGGTTTGTTTTTCTAACAGCTTGTCTCCAAAAGGAAATACAGGAATATCTTCTGGCCTCCCCCTGCCCCCCAAGCTGTGTAGCTATGCCTTGTCTCTTCCTTGGGTGAACAGGCACATTACCTTCTTCCAATTCGTCTGTTCCTTTGAAAGAAAAAAACCCCAAAACCAAAACCACCTTTCCTCTTATCACTGGTGTTAAGACCTGGGTTGCCTGCTTATGAAGATGCAAAAGTCTTTATATGCTTTTGTTGCACAAACAGCGAGTAACAGGAAATTTGGCTTTGTAGATTTTGTCAACAGGGAGAGGGAGACATTTGAACAGCGACTGATGTTGCACACAAAGTTGTTTGCACTTGCATACAGCTACAAATATGTAATTTGTCAGTTACCTTCACAGTTTAGTATTTCTGGTCTTTACCGATTTTGGGCAGTGTTCGCACTGGCAGAATTCTGCTTAGGAAGAGCTTAGATGGCTAAGCCACCTATTCCCAGGTATTGTCTACAATGACCAGAATTAAGCAAGAAAGAATCTGAATGTAGCCTGATAAAAAAGGACTTACACAGGAAAAAAAAACAGTCCTAGGCTCTGACCCTTATGCTCCATGCATTTTCAACTTAAACATTGTTGGGTAAAGTGCATAAACACTACTAAAAATAGGAAGAAAATCACAGAGGAACACCCGCATATGAAAGAGCTGAGTCAATTCACCATTCATCCTTCTGAACCTGTGCTGCAGGCCATGTGGGGGCCCAAATTAAATGAGGGCTGTGATAAGAACAGACCCCCTTTAAAGGAAGGGAATGGAAGGGACCTTTAAAGGTCATCTAGTGCAACCCCCCCCTGCAGACAGCAGGGACACCTTCCAATGGATCAGGTTGCTCAAACCTGACCTTGAACACTGCCAGGGATAGGGCATCCACAATTTCCCTGGGCAACCTGTTCCAGTGCCTCACCACCCTCACAGTGAAGAACTTCTTCCTTACATCTAATCTAAATCTACCCCCTTTCAGCTCAAAGCCATTACCTCTTGTCCTATCACTACATGCCCTTGTAAAAAGTCCCTCTCCAGCTTTCCTGTAGGTCCCCTTTAGGTACTGGGGGCTGCTATAAGGTCTCCCTGGAGTCTTCTCTTCTCCAGGCTGGACAACCCCAACTCTCTCAGCCTGTCTTTGTAGCAGAGCTGCTCCATCCCTCTGATCGTTTTTGTGTCCTTCCTCCGGACCCGCTCCAACAGGTCCATGTCTGTCCCGTGCTGAGGACCCCAGAGCTGGACGCAGGACCGCAGGTGGGCCCTCACCCGATGGGAGCAGAGGGGCAGAATCCCCTCCCTCGACCTGCTGCCCACGCTGCTTGGGATGCAGCCCAGGACACAGTTGGCTTTTGGGGCTGCGAGCGCACGTTGCCAGCTCGTGCCCAGCTTTTCATCCCCGGCTTTTCATCCGCCGGTACCTCCAAGTCCTTCTCAGCAGGGCTGCTCTCCATCCCTTCATCCCCCAGCCTGTATTGATACTGGGGGTTGCCCCGACCCAGGCGCAGGACCCTGCACTTGGCCATGATGAACCTCATGAGGTTCACATGGGCCCACATCTCGACCTCATCCAGGACCCTCTGGATGGCATCCCGTCCCTCAGGCGCGTCAACCGAACCACTCGGCTCAGAGTCACCTGCAAACTTGCTGAGGGTGCACTTGATCCCACTGTCTGTGTCTTTGATGAAGATATTAAACAGTACTGGTCCCAGTACGGACCCCTGCGGGGCACCACTTGTCACTGCTCTCCATCTGGACATTGAGCCATTGACCATTACCCTTTGGATGCGACCATCCAGCCAATTCCTCATGCACCAAACAGCCCACCCATGAAATCATGTCTCTCCAATTCAGAGAAGGATGTTGTGGGGGACCATGTCAAAGGCCTTAAGAAGTCCAGAGAGATGACATCCGTAGCTCTTCCCTTGTCCACTGAGGTAGTCACTCCATCATAGAAGGCCACAAGTTGGGTCAGGCAGAACTTGCCCTTGGTGGAGTCATGCTGGCTGTCTCAAATCACCTCTCTGTCCTCAGCATAGCTTCTACAAGGATCTGTTCCATGGTCTTCCCAGGCACAGAGGTGAGGCTGACAGGTCGGTAGTTCCACCCTTTTTAAAAATGGGTGCAATGTTTCCCTCTTTCCAGTTACTGGGGTCTTCACCTGACTGCCATGACTTTTCAAATACCATGGAGAGTGTCTTGGCAGCTACATCAGCCAATTCCCGCAGGACTCTGGGATGGATCTCGTCAGGTCCCACAGACTTATGTATGTTCACGTTCCTCAGGTGGTCACAAATCTGGTCTTATCTTACAGTGGGAGGGACTTTGTTCTCCCAGTCCCCATCTTGCGGTCCATCCACTTGAGAGGTGTGGGAAGAGAGGTTACCAGTGAAGACTGAGGCAAAAAAGTTGTTGAGTACCTCAGCCTTCTCCTCATCCATTGTTAGCAGTTTGCCAGTCTTGCTCACCAGGGGCAGTACGCTTTCTTTGACCTTCCCTTTCTGGCTGACATACCTGTGGAAGCCCTTCTCATTATTCTTTGTACCCCTTGCCAAGTTCAGCTCCAGATGACTCTCTAGTATTTAAAAAAGGAGGCAAGAACACCAACTACCTACATCTTTCCAATCCTATGCTGTTTCTTCAGTATGACATAGCAAAGCAGCAGATTCTGCTGGAAGGGTAGAATTACAGTGAGCTACGAGCATATTTAGTAATGCATATAGGGTCAGATTCACTGATCTGCTGGAGCATAAGTCACCTTATGCAAAAGCAGCATAAGGTGACTTTCAGGTGGCCAGCAGTGAGCAAGGTACCTTCCTCTGCTGCTTGTGCAAAATTTGAGAGAATGCAAGCAGCGTCTGCACCTGGCTAAAAGGACAGAAATAGGTCACTGTGCTGGTATGAATGAAAGAGCATGGATGTTGGATGGGGGCACGACAATCTTCCCTTATGTTTTCCAAAATGGACTGAGTGGTCAGCTAAGCCAAAAATGTTGATTTGTGACTCAAAGGAGGGTGAGAAGTGGTAAAAACAATCTTTGAAGACTATGCAAATACACAGATACAATGAAACTTTTAAAACATTTCCACTGAATTTAACGATTAAAAAAGGAGATACTCACTTTGCATGGTAATCAGTTGCTGGCCTGAGATCATTTACAGTAACTTTATTTTCTTCTCCACTGGAAAGAGACACGATTTGGTTTGAGAGACTGTTTCAGAATCCCATACATTTATAAAAAGACACATATCATCTAACCCATTCATCTAACGCTCGTTCTAAGAAATGTATTTGCTAACAGTTTGACTCTGTTGCTAAATGTAGTAAAATGTAAATGCATTTATCTTCGAATTTTAGGGCCTTCTTGTGTTTGATTCCTGTTCTTTTGCCCTGGTGGTTTTGTTTTTTGTTGTTGTTGTTCTGTTTATTTGTTTCTTAAAGAATAATTATTTTCCTCTTAGTAAGACCAGCTGCACGTGTACACATATATGTTATTACACAGAAACCATCAAAGTATTGGGGCCTACAGAAGCTCAGTTCAGCCTTGCAAAAACAATTATCTAAAACTGTACATGACTGCATATACCTACTTGTTAGAGCCTAGCAAACAGAAAAGACACCTAAGTAACATCTATTAGTCTACTTTTGCTGACATCAGTTTATGTTAGCAAAGCTCATTTCTTTTCCTCTTGTTTCTAGGACAGGGAGATCCAACTCATGATTCATGTACTGCTCCTAAGAAATCAATGGAAGGTGACTAAGATAAAATAGCTAGATACAAAGATTTATAATTATTAGAGAGCTCTACACCCTTAATGGCAAATTTTACTGTTATATTTCGCCAAGTTGCAAAAAACTGATTGAAAACTCTTGTGTTAGGAATGAAACGATTGAAGAGTTTTGTTTGGTTTGCTGCTGTTAGAGTTCTGTTCTGTGTGAATCTACTTACTTTTTTTCATATCCTAAGACTGTCTCTTACCAAGAGCATTTTCAGGGAAGGGAGGGATAACTTTACTGGGAGCAGAAGCATGTGCTGAAATAAGTAACTACAAATACAATTTGTATTTCTCACTACTTGCGTATATGTCACTACTTGAGAACCTATAGTTTCTAGTGCAGCTGGTTGAAATACAGCTAAGTGATATTAAAACATGCCTCCAACATCTAAGAACAAGGTCTTTACATTCTAATTGATGGTAGAGACTTCAGTAATAAAACAGAACCAATTCTACTGAAAAAAGTAGTTCAATGTAAAATAGAAGTTGCAAAAACCTGCTGTCGTGGTTTAACCCCAGCCAGCAATTAAGCACCACGCAGCCGCTCACTCACTCCCCCCCCATCCAGTGGGATGGGGGAGAAAATCAGGAGAAGTAGTAAAACTCCTGGGTTGAGATAAGAACGGTTTAATAGAACAGAAAAGAAGAAACTAATAATGATAATGATAACACTAATAAAATGACAACAGTAGTAATAAAAGGACTGAAATGTACAAATGATGCGCAGGGCAATTGCTCACCACCCGCAGACCGACACCCAGCCAGTCCCTGAGCGGCGAATCCCTGCCCCCACTTCCCATTTCCTAAACTAGATGTGATATCCCATGGTATGGAATACACTGTTGGCCAGTTTGGGTCAGGTGCCCTGGCTGGGCATGAGAAGCTGAAAAATCCTTGACTACAGTCTAAACACTACTGAGCAACAACTGAAAACATCAGTGTTATCAACATTCTTCACATACTGAACTCAAAACATAGCACTGTACCAGCTACTAGGAAGACAGTTAACTCTATCCCAGCTGAAACCAGGACACCTGCTAATTATTTAAATCTCTGGACAACAGGCAGATTTTTAATGAGGTTTTAAGCCACATAATTCAATGCAACAGCAATTAAATAAAAACAATGAACACCTACACGTATATAGTTTTGTACTTTCCATCTTTTCCGGTACTTGAAATCATCACTTCGTAAGTATAAACCTCTGGTACGTCATTCTTGTCAGTGTCTTCTCTAGTATCACTTGATGGAGGGGACCACATAAGCAGTGCTGTTCTTGCCTGAATGTCCGATACCTGTAGAAATACAAGTTTTGAGATCTCTGCCATTTAAACGCTATCGTATATAAACACTGCTATGCCACAAAGGACCAAATAAGAGAGAAGAAAATCATATACCGTTAGCATATCAGAGTATTTATACCGATATAATAGCTACTAACTAGTTTTTACAGATGAAATCAAGCTAAAAATACAAGAAATGTCATGAGAAAACTGCAATCCTAGGGCACAGGGCTGAGACCAAAGAAACTTCTAACTAACGAATGCCACCTAGTGGGCTACCTAAAAATGAACCGCATCTGTTGCGAACCAGACGAGATGCAAGCATATACAGTGAAATCAATCATTTCATTAAATGACAATGTTTCAGGCATTTTTTATTTGCTGTCACTGGCACTATGATTTTTTTTTTAATACCTTCTTGTCGACTCGGTTTTCTTATGAAATATATAGAAGCTCAGGAATTTCTCCAGAATGGCTGGCGTTACTGTAACAGGTACATAAACTTTGCTTTGGGCATTTAATTATGATTGCAACAAGTAGACTCTCCCATTATATTAGAATCTATTTGGTTAACCATCCCAGCATGTTTTGGTTTTTTATCAGAATATTAATAGGAATACAACTACCTGAGGCTCTAATCTAGTACTCCTAGGGAACAGAATATTAGAACATATAACGTACTTTGACCCCAGGCACTTGCGATGAAGGCTTGCTCACAAGGTCCGTGTACATATACATACATACGGGCAACATCCTAAAGAATTCCTGGGGTGGTGCTTGCCTGCACAATGCACCCTTTGCAGAAAGGCCTGGATAACAACAGCTGGTACGAGAGAAATACGAGAATGAACAGTGTGTGTGAACGCAACACCTCCAGCTGTTTGAGAAGCGTTTGCCCCGGCAGACTCATCATGCTAAAGGCAGCAACCCTCAGGTGGGTTAAGTGGTAACCGGGAGATCACAAAGAGACTTCTGAAAGGAAGAAGTGATCAGCTTCGGAAGTATAAAAGCAGCATGAAAATTCATAACAGGGATAAAAGATGCTGGAGTGCAACACAGCAATGATCAAAACCCGGCCTGACTGCAAGAAATTGCCCTGCCACCACTGCCGCCTCCATCCAGGCTGGATGGATGCCCTGAGCAGGCGCAGCCCAGCTGGTATGACAGCAATTCGGGTGCAGCAGGCAGGGATCCACAGCGTGGGTGGGTGCATGGGACCTGGCAGAGAGCTTTCTCAATGGCCTGTGCCTTAGCAGACTAGGGAACAATAGATTTTAGGGAATAACAGTTACATGCAAAGCTAAAGCACCCACATCTCTGAAAGGAGACATGCAGTTAGGGGCACCCACGGCTCCCAGAAGAGTGGGTGCTGCTTGAAACCCACAGGTGCTGCAAGGGGCTGGGGATGCTCATATTTCTGTAGTTGAGTCCACAGGTGCGTGCATGCGATTACAAATTTTTAGCATCCATTATAGAAGGAAGTCTAGAAATTTGTGGGTGTTTATTAATATTGCACGCCTGCTATTGTGATTTGTATGTTGCAACCGCCTACTATTTCCAATTGTTTCATAAGAGAACCGAAAACACATTTCATTATACGAAATGACTAGTTTTACAATATGACTGTAATGTATATCTATTTTGGGAACAATTGCCTTTGAAAATCTATTACCAGAGTATCAGAATCAAAATGCTATCTTCACAATTGGTGCTCTTAAATTGCTATAATCTACTGAACTAAAAACCTGAATTGAATGGGTCAACTTCAAGAATAAAGCAGAGGAGGTGACTTACTGATAACAGACAAACAGAAAGGAGGAAAAAGTCAAACAAGATGAGACTCAATGTCTTAGAAATAATGTCACTAAGCCCTTATATGCTAACAAGACTGTGTATCACATCTTGAAAGGGATCAAATGCTACTAAGATTACCCAGTGAAGTTCTTGAATTCAAAGTTTGGGAAGAGAAATTCCACTGTAAACTTGATGCGGTCACAAACTACACTAACTACAATCACCTCAGGACAATTCTAGCATTTCTGGAAGTCTTTGGAGTTGTGGGAAGCATCTGGGGTGGTAGAAGCTCCCTCTCAGACAATCTTTATCCCTCCCTCCTGGGTTGCAGAAGGCAGCAGGGGATACTGAAAGAAAGAAGAGTAGGTTCCTGGAGGACCTACTATGTTCCAGGACTAGTAGGTCCACTGTAAAATGATCTATTCCTATGTTTAGCTACCCGAACAGTTGAAATTTTTTCCCTAATATCCAGGCAGGATCTCTCTTACTACCAGCTAAGTCTACTAGTCCTAGTCACCGAAGTTGAACATCAGATCCTCCCTTCCTTTCTACAGTTGTTTCTGATGTACTTGAAGACTGTTAAGCATTTGTGTCTCCCCTCTCTTATCTAAATCTCTGATCGTTCTCACTGTTCTCTTTATCTCCTACTGCTTCATTATCTTTAGTGCTTTGCCCAGAACTGTGCATGACACCCCATCTAACCCTCGGCTAATGCCAAACTGCCTTATACCCTTGACAGATTACATTTCTTCTCATACATTTTTAGTCTTTCTATCTTCTTTTACACCAGAGAAATAATGCAGTTGGTACAAGTGAAAGGCGGCATTACATCTTGCATTGGGTTTGCGTGGCAAGGTTTTGGTAGCAGGGGAGCTACAGGGGCAGCTTCTGTGAGAAGCTGCTGGAAGCTTCCCCCATGTGCGACAGAGCCAATGCCAGCCGGCTGCAAGATGGACCTGCTGATGGCCAAGGCTGAGCCCATCAGCGACGGTGGTAGTGCCTCTGGGATAAGGTATTTCAGAAGGAAAAAAAAGTTGCTGGGGCACAGAAACTGCAGCCAGAGAGAGGAGTGAGAACATGTAAGAGAAACAACCCTGCAGACCCCCAGGTGGGTGAAGAAGGAGGGGAGGAGATGCTCCAGGTGCCGGAGCAGAGGTTCCCCTGCAGCCCGTGGGGAAGACCATGGTGAGGCAGGCTGTCCCCCTGCAGCCCAGGGAGGTCCACGGTGGAGCAGATCTCCACCTGCAGCCCGGGGAGGAGCCCACGCTGGAGCAGGTTTGCTGGCAGGACTTGTGACTCCGTGGGGGACCCACTCTGGAGCACTCTGTGCCTGAAGGACTGCAGCCCATGAAAGGGACCCATGCTGGAGCAGTTCGTGAAGAACTGTAGCCTGTGGGAAGGACTCGCATTGGAGAAGTTCGTGGAGGACTGTCTCCCATGGGAGGGACCCCACAGTGGAGCAGGGGATGAGTGAGGAGTCCTCCTCCTGAGGAGGAAGGAGCGGCAGTGACAACGTGTGATGAACTGACCCCAACCTCCATTCCCCGTCCCCCTGTGCCACTGGGGGGGGAGGAGGTGGAGAATTTGGGAGTGGAGTTGAGCCCGGGAAGAAGGGAGGGTTGGGGGGAAGGTGTTTTAAGACTTGGTTTTATTTCTCATTATCCTACTCTGATTTGATTAGTAATAAAATAAACTAATCTCCCCAAGTTGAGTCTGTTTTGCCCGTGACAGTAATTGGTGAGTGATCTCTCCCTGTCCTTACCTCGACCCACGAGCCTTTCGTTCTATTTTCTCTCCCCTGTCCAGCTGAGGAGGGGAGGGACAGAGAGGCTTTGGTGGGCACCAGCATCCAGCCAGGGTCAACCCACCACACATCTTACTGGAACATTAAAAGATTAGAGGTTTCACCTGTTTCGTACAGACAGAGCAGAAGAGTGGGAGGGAGATCAAAGACAACATTACAGACTACAGAGTAACAGACAACTCACAGGACTTTGACTACTAACATTGAACCCAGAGTATTAGTGGAAATCATTATATATCAACAAGAGTCAACAGAGAACAGGGCGAAATGTTCTTTAAGTCTCTGACTGGAATAAAAATTGTCATCCCGAGTTACGCCCTCAGGGCAACGTTTGTTGGTCAACTCACATAAACCTTCCATAAGACTTCTAAAATAATAGATGACAACTGTTAACACAGTAACTATAACACAATGAAGCAGTATTATGTACCAAGCTAAAAATCAGTGACCATGTAGGTTGTTCCGGTTGTTCTACTTTGTGTAAACAGAGTATGTGACTAAAGAATATTATGAAAAGCTGAAGCTTTGCTGTGGTCAATTTGCCAAAACTTAAAAGCAACAGTTAGTGGAATTGAACATGATCAGAAATGCAAAGTGAAAAGTATTCACAGAAGCTGGGAATTAAGGACATCCTAATGGTGCATAAAAAGCTGCAATGTATAAAAACTATATAAGTTCTCTACACATCCACATGCACACATATGGGGAGAAGGGAGAAATATGTTAGCCAATAAGCTATGACTTAGCAGAATTTACAAGAGAATTTAAAAAATTAAAAAAAAAAAAAACCGGTAAAAAAATTAAAAAAAAAAAATTAAAAAAAAAAAAAAAAAAAAAAGAAAACCTATCAGGAAAGCTCCAAGTCAGGCACTGCTCTGTTACTGGTGGATGTCAAGTTAAAACTGTAAAATGTTATTTTCATCCTGCACTTTCAATGAGACAGAAATCCATATCCATCTTGTGTAACCCTGTTGCTGGGCTAGAAAATTTACAACCCACACCAAAGTCACTGGGCCCAGCAGATGGTGCCCAGATGAAATTGAGAGCTCTGCAATAAACCAGGTAGTCAGGTTAAACCACTGGTTCCCTGTCAGTGATGTACGCTCACATTAAACCAAGGAGTTGCAGTAAGCTAAGCTGAAACTAGTAAGCCCTGCTGAGGAGCACTGGGGAGTGAACTATTTATGGAACGAGTGTAAGAGGCAGATACCTGAGGGCCCAGGAGAACGGGCTCACAGGCAGAAGAACAGAACAAGAGGTATAACACTTAACTCTTTGGCAGGGTTAAATATTGGAAATAATTTCCAACCCTGTACCTCATACACCTGAATCCCACTGAAGTTGGTACCACCTTCTTTTCCACAAGCCAAGAGTGGCAGTGGAGGAGTGTGGGGTCCCCAGAAATACAGCTCATTCGTGAGGGGTCAGTAATCAGACAAAAAGAAGAGAGGCAGTAAGAGTGGGACTGAATAACATCAAGGTTTTTCTTCTGGACCCACACTCTCTATGATGTCACATATTTCATAAGTTCTGGAGCTTTTCAGTAAATTCACATACAGGTGTATGAGTATTTTCAACCACTCTCAGCTGCTAAAAGAAATAAAAAAATCACAGCTGCAAGCACTGACAATAGAGAATCAGAGAACGTAATTTAAGTCCTTTTGAACTTGTTTATAAAACATTTTGTACTGCTTTTCAGATTCAACTTCCAGCTAAGAGAATGATTCTTAAAGACAAGTCTAGGTTCAGCTCTATTCTTCCTCGCAAGACTATTAATAAGGGACAAACCTAAAGTATTGAAAGATCAAGAATTGCTAAAATGAAGATTTCCTGTAAAAAACTTTTCTCTATTGTGTATATACACTATGGCAGTCTTAGATTACATCAGCATATACTATTTTAACACAAAACTCCAGCTTCACATGATGCAAGCATATGACAGTAATTACTAATTTCTTCACTAAGAAGCAATTAATGAATATTGTCCTCAAATTCAGAGTTCCTATTGCCTCTCCTTATTAAATACTCAGCCTTCTGCTCCATTCTTCATTTTGCTTTTGCCTTTTCAGGTCCCCTTGTCTTCTCTCCTGCTTGCTTTGTTGTTTGGTTAATGGACATGACAGCTGTTGAAGACTCTGCTCAAACACTGAGGGCTCAGCCTGGTGCAATCTGCAAAACCACTCCAACTTACATCTGGGTATAAAAAGTTCAAGACCTCCCTAAGTAGAAGGGTTATGTGGTGCCAGTACCACTTTACCAACCTGACTTAACACTGCCACATATAAAAGGATGGGGGATCCAAACAGGGAAAAGTTCAAGAAAATGAGAACGTTTTCATAAAAACATCTAATGGGAATTTGGAGGCAGCAAAGCTGATGTGCCCGTACGCCATACTGCACAGACCTGAAAGAGATGTGTGAAAGCATGCCATAGAGCCCACCACCTGATGTAGATGTGCATGCCCTGGACCTGGGCAGTAAGACATGGGACAGCCCAGGACAGGTCACAGCCTTTGGCACTACTCTGGGCTTTCTGGAGCAGGATATGGTGCAATGGACACTGTACTGGACAGCACCTGTATGATCATCTGATGACCACCACCACAGCCAGTATCCAGTATTGCCTGTGCCAGCACTGAAGTTCAACCACAGAACAGGGTGTTGATAATCCATCAAGAAGAGCATCATGGCACAATCCCCACAGTTCTTCAAGCAAAACATTAATCAAAAACTTACAGGAATATTTCTGATGAGAGCTACAAATGGAAGGTGTGAAAAACCACAATCTTCTGGTTCACTGGTGGGAGGGTGAGAAAAATGTTTCCTTGGCGAAACTGTGGGAGTGTTGCTTCTGATTGTGCAAGGCCTAAGTAGGTAACACAGACTCCCTTTCTCTTACCACGTCACGCTTCCCCAAGCTGCAAAATCAGCTAGTCTTCCACCCACCCACAGCCCTGACAGTCCCTTGCCTTCGCAAAGCATAAGCCTCTTCAAGTACTGGAATTTTGGCTTTTTGCCTTGTGTACACTATCTAGTCTGTAGCAGACTACTAATGCCTAAGCCTGTGATGTCTTCTGAGGTCTGCAAAGAGATCACTTGTAGGCACACAGCTACATGCAATGACGCTCAAGTAAGGACATGGTAGGGAAGGGAAATAGCATGCTTGCCTAAAAGGCACGGACAATTGAGCGTTGAGGGTGGAAGGAAGTGAAAGAAAACAAGACAGTACTGGCACTCCATTGCTTTTTCATATGTCATTAGCAACACAGCAGAAGACACCTCCTCTTGATCCTACTTCTCACAGGTTCACTCTAACCACCCCAGGAAGCTCAGAGTTGTCATGCCCCTTGGCAATGCAGCCACCGATGACACCTCAACTTGGATGGCATCCTGTATGCCCTGACCACTGGCAGACGACTGTGCATACTTCTTCTGAAGAACTGGTCCCTGTACGGCTAGTCAGGATAGAAAGGATCATTCACATTCTTGTCAGAGCTGCCTCTTCTCCACTCGCTTCCTTTCTCCCCCACACCTTTATCTTCCTAAGCTTCCTTCTCAGCCCCAGTTTCTTCTCCAAAAATTCTTTTTACTGCTCCTCCACCAGCTCCAATCATCAAGGTCATCCGTTAAGTGCTGCTGAACCTGACTGTCCCAGCTACTATCTACACAACAGTGACAGCTAGGAGCAGCTAACTCCTCTCCATCTCCTCATCTCAGCCCTCTCAACCCCTTCTTATAGGATTTGATTGAGACAGTTTCCACCTCCATGCTGCTTACCCACCAAAGACACAGGGGCACTGTAGACATGTTAACCCATTCTGATGCTTGGACACAGCAGGATGTCAAGCACTCAGGACTTCCTCTCTAATTACAATCCCTGCTGAGCCCTTGCAGCACCACAGAATCACAGAATGGTTGAGGCTGGAAGGGAACCCTGGAGGTCAACCGGTCCAACCCCCTTGCTCAAGCAGGGTCACCTAAAGCCAGCTGCCCAGACCCATGTCCAGACAGATTTTCAGTATCTCCGAAGAGGGAGTCTCCACAACTCTCTGAGCAACCAGTGCCAGTGCTCAGTCATCCTCATAGTAAAAAACCAGTGTTTCCTGATGTTCAGAGGGGCCCTCCTGTGTTTCAGTCTGGGCCCATTGCCTCTGGGGCTGATGCTGAGCCCACTGAAAAGAGCCTGGCTCCATCCTCTTTGCACTCACCCTGCAGATACCTATATACATTGATAAGGTCCCCCCTGAGCCTTCTCTTCTCCAGGCTAAATAGTCCCAGCTCTCTCAGCCTCTCCTCACCAGGCTGTAAAGCAACAACATACGAAAGAAGAACCCAGACTGGGGCACTAAAACCAGGGCCAGGTTGTCCGGGAGGTGAAGGAGAGAAGGTATGTAGCTGATGGAATAACAGTCTTGGAAGTCCAATGATCATTCCATCTGACCCTTTCTCCTTCTTCACCTTCTTTTCTCTATATGTCCCTCCTTCCATAAAAGTTTTCTCTTCTTGATTAGTTATGTGAAGTATGTGTGTGTGAGCGTGTGCACTTGTGTGGTGTGGTAAGCTAAGGACTGACGAAGGACGAAAAGCAGGATGCCTGATTATGGAGGTAGTAGCTGGCTGACTGGACAAACCCATGGCAAGCTCCTCCTGGAGTTTCAGTTGCATGGACTTTTTGTAGTTTACAATAGGGAACACAAATTGTTTTTACTCAGGCAAGCTGGTGGACTGAGGATTGAGGTGCAGATTTTTGGAAAAGCTGTGTATATCCTCACAGAAAGGTTAGGACCAGGGAAGGTCCAGATGATGAACGAAAAGAACACAGGCCTGCTCAACAATGCAAGAAACTACTGAATTGGGCAACAGTCCTTTAAAAAGTTTCTATGCAGAATTATGAATTACAGTTTTACAAACTGAAAAGAAATTGGTAGATTCTCAAGCAGGTAAGCCAGAAGCCCACTGCTGACACCTTCGTTGGCAAATTTTATGTCTCTTCCCTGGAGGTACCAGAGACTCTTAAAGAGAAATCTGTCATCATTTTTCTTTACTTTTCAAATAAGGTTTTCCAAACCCTCATTTTTGGTGAGGTTTCCAAAACCTTGCCAGGTATCTCTCATGCCTAGAGATATCTGGTGTGTAAAACTGTTTCCTGAACAGTTGTAACTAAACAATGTTACAGGAATTTGAGAACAGATTTTTACAATAAGAGAAGATTTTAAGCATCATCTTATGCTAAACATCATTATTATGTTACTGACAACGTTACAAGCTCTTTCTATATATATTTTTTGTAATTCTGTTAATACTGAGATTTCACAGAGTTGCCAAGAAGAATTCCATATAATAAGTATCAAGACAATTTTAGCTTCACAAATGTTAATATACTAAAAATTACTTTGGTCATTTACATTTCAGTGGCTGGAAGTTAAGTGAGTTATCTTTAGTGCAGGAAGTTAAAGATCCTTTAAACTTGGGAGAGAGAAAAGGAGGTGTAGCTGTGTAAAAATAGCAACAGATACATTCTGACTTTATGGAAAGCTTTATTTACTTACCACTGGCTTGGCTATATTAGAAAGAAGTGCTTCAAGTGCTTTTGTTTCTTCATCCTTTTCTTAAAAAACAAAATCAAAGCAAACAAAAAGTACCCATGAGTATTGTTCAGTGACTTTACAGTGAAATAGCTCTTCAAATTCAACAACTGCACATAGACTGAGGTATTTATAAAATAGAACACCTTGCCAACTTGCATTCATCTAGGGCAACATAAAACCAAAAAAGCTCCCTAAAAAGTTATTAATATAAAACTATTTCTAAATCTGTTCTATGATTTATGGAATACAGAAAGCCTGGTTATCTTTTATTAACGTATAACTTTAAACAAACTACTGCTCTGGAGAACTTAGGCTCTTGGCTGAGATATTTCCTATAGATTTCTCTTTGGATGTAGATGCAGTCAAGTTACAGTAGTTTAAATATGTTACTGCACAACAGCTGGAAGACTACCGGTAACGCTGTTGGCCTCCCTCAATTGCAAGGGCAAACCTTAGCTTAGCCTTCAGTTACGTTCCAGGGAAAGAATCCAAGGTGTTTTGTTTCAGCTGAAGGTATAGCTGAGCTTTATAAGGGACTCAAAGTTTACAGAAAGTGTTTTATGTGCTTTCTCCCACACAATACTAAAATTTTATTATCTCAATAGTGTAAGTGAACAGGCTACTCGGTTTTGAAGGTGTGGCCAGGCATTTTTAGTTCACTTAACCTGCCTTAAACCGAAAAGAAAAATAAAAGAAAAACAAAGCCTGATGAAATTCTTTAAAAAACACAGGTCAAATCTACTTACAACTTTGTATTTCTAAAATGACTTATGCTATTGAAACTAATTAAATGCATTTCTGACTTCTGTTTGTTATTACAAGTCTAAGTCACAGTACATAATTTTCCCAAATGTCTCCTGAATTAAGTAATTCTGAAAAGCGTACTTTTCTGTTTATCATATAAAATACTTCTAAGGAACTGTTAACGTAATTTTCGATACGTATGTAAGCAACAGTACATTTTATCACCTGTACCTTGGTGAAGTTAGCTCACAGATAAATACCAACTAACAGAAAATAAACTAAACAGAAATCCAAGTCAAATGCCACCATGGAACTACAGTGACAAGTATTCATTCAAGTTTGGAGCAACAGTTCCCAACAGCTGAATTCAGGCTGTATCTCAAAGGTGTCCCTTGGTATGAAGCTTTCACAGGCTATCATCTACACATGTTTTTAAACAGCTCTTCTAGGCTGAGATTTCCTGGTCTTGGTTAGACATACTTTCTTCACGTTTCTTGTGGTTTACAGCAATCTAATATACATCAGCACAAAATCATCATCTCAAAGCAAACTTCAGTGAGTTGAGAAAACCACAGTTTGCTTCCCTCAGCATCACTAGTTACAGCTCCCTGTTCTGAGGAAATTGTACTTGGCTGATGACAAGTCTTTGACATTGTGTTCTGAATCTGAAGTGCTATGCCAGTGACCTGAAAGTTGCATAGTGACACATCATCAGATTCAACAAGGACTGTATGACCAAGACTGAGCGAATTCAGTCCATTTATGAGATCACAAACTTTCCAGTGAAATAAAGGTATTAATAATAAACACGCTCCCCATGGTAGTGTCGTAGAAAACATGAACTCACACAGACTAGTGTGAGGACCAGTCTTTTTCTACAAAGGCCTTTCAATGATGAGTTGGTGGGGACAGACATTATGTGAATTTTATATAACAACATTATCTCTTTTACGAAGCACTCCTCTTTAACAAGCTGAATGCAGGTTTCCTGTATCAGACATCTCATTCTTTCCATGTTTTCTGCAATATCAAGTGGGCCACCAATATTCAGTGATTCCTTAAAAATGTAAGCACCAATGACTCTGGACAAAACACAGATTTTTCTTTAAACCGTATTATGAAGTATGACTAATAAGATTTGCTCAAATCTACGTGGAGACTTGCATGTCAGCAGTTTTGTTCTCTTAGGCCCATCACTCCAATGTGACGAGCAGGTTGATTGCCCTTAAGCCCATTCTGTGTAAGTCAGGGCAGTGGCGGGCTACTACTCCACTTCAAGATTGTCAAAGTGTGGTGTTCTATCTACAAATGCTATATTCAGACAGACACTGGACTTGCATTTTTTATATATATATAGATTTATTTATTTTTTTTTAACACTTACCTTCTACTTCTGTGTCTGTCTGAGAATTGCTTTTTCCTTTGCCCAAAGACTTGCTTTTGGTAGAACCTGTGCTTATACCAGCTGCATCCTGTCCTTTTGTAAGTCCATTATGTTCACTTGTAGGAGAAGGACATTTCTGAGGAGATGATGGAGGACTGTTTAACTTATCCTTCTGAGTTCCATGTCGATCTTTTAATTTTTTTTGTAACCTTTCATATGTTTTACTAGACCTTTCGTCTCTAAAGTTGGATCTTCCATGACCAGGCAGAGTATCTAAATTGAAGTAAAGAAGAAAAAAATTAAAAATAATCAACTAAGAATGGAATGTAATTAAAAATCTATTTAAAAATGCTATGTGCATTAAGTGTGCACTTGTGTATAAAATTACTTCTCTATTCCTGTTGGAAAACTGAAGCATCCAGCAGGTAAACCGATACACGCTAATTGGACATTAACAACATGTTAGGGGAGAAAGTGTAATCTTTCCTTCCCACATCTTTTCTCTACTTAAAAATTATTCTTAAAACATTTCTATAATCTTGCTTGAGCTGTAAGGTACAGGATGAAGTCAACAGAGAAAAAACACGCAACTTTATTACATGGGAGGAGATCTGCTCTAATGCGAAGTTTTAAGTTTCAGAATGCAACTAGAGCTCTATTACTTTAATGGTGCTTCAGCAGAAAACACAGAAAAACCCCACAAAAGCACAGGGCAACTGAAAGACACTAAAAGACTGAAGACGGTATGGCTAGGTCTTGTAACTACACTATACCTGTACACAGTAACCCGAGGCATTGCTGCAGTATTAGCAAAGTCCCATCTCTAAGTCAGAACGTGGCTTTGGAAAAAAGTCAGCACCAGACTAATGAAAAAAATTAAACTGTAGGTTGGTGAACTTTTCTGTTAAATTCTAACATTTTTATCCATTTCACCTTTTTGCTTAGGAACAGCTTATTGACTCAAGACTTTAAAACAGCGTACCACATGGCACCAACTCCCTCCTCAGTGTAACCCTATCTATAACAAATAATGAAAGCTTTCAAAAAAATCCATCCTTCAAAACCAGCATAGAATTTGTCCATTTTCAGGTAAGCTGGATCACTCGGTCTGAAGAATGAAGTTCATTATCTGTTATTCCTTAAGTGCTAGGAAGTACAGAAAACAGGAGCAAATAAAAACTTCCTTGCAAGAAGGATAAAAATCACAAAGCTAGAGAACTTTTCAGTTTCTGTTTTTTTAGGTGAGCTTAATTCCCAGAAAATTTGGCAGAGGATTACTAGATAAGCTGTGACTACTTAGAAATTTGTTTTTCACTCCCATTAGAGATTTAGGTGCTCTTGTTAAAGAACTACCATGGTCTAAGCACTTCCGGGTTTTTTTTCCCACCTTAAATTCAGATTCCTCATACAGAAGCCTAACTGTGGGCTTTGACTTCTGAAAGCCAGAGCCAAAGACAGTGGTCCAGCATTAAATACGAAATCTGTAGCAAATATGTAACAAATTAAAGCATCCCCAGTCCTCTAATTCCCCAAATCCAAGGGCATACTACATATATATTTAAAACAAAGCAAACCAAAGAATCCCACTTTATCAATTTTTTTTTTACATTAGCAGTTTAGCAAATTATCACTGAATTCATATTTAAAGGGATATAACCTACAGCATAAATCTAAAAAATATTATTCCATTAACAAGTATCCTTCATCTTTTGTGCATTTAATTATCACACTCCAATCTCTTCATTTAGCAAACTAAAAGCAAATAACTGCCATCTACAGGAAACCAAGAAATTAATAAAGCTATAAATAAGCACCCAAAGAGCATCTAAGAATGTACTGTTACCAAAGTAGTGCAAGGAAGAAATAAAGTACAACTTAAGAATACAGAAACACTTAAGAATTCCAGGAAGATCAAGACATCGGTGTATTCTCATCTGATGGCTTTGTACATCATGACTATTTAAGTACAGTGACTATATGGAGGACATTTTTAAATGAGTTTAGTAGTATCGCAGAACACTGAGAATCTATGCATCTACAGCAACATGACAAAGTTGTGTTTGGTCTCCTCCTCCATAGCTTCTACCTTCTTTCTCTAAAACCAGCAACCTGGCATTGCTCTCTGAAACTCTCTCAAGGTCAGCACCTGCCTTATAGCAGAAGTTTACCTAAAGAAAAACAAGTCTACCAGAAATGGAAATATTAATCTAACAACCCAACCCCCGAGTTAGTACACACATACACTTTGCCACTAAACCATATTAAAGGCAGATGTCAATAGAACTATCAAAGACAGCTTCAACTACAGTATTAAGTTTAGGCTGGTGGCACCTGATTATTCAAGTTGGACTTCAATATGGACACTGGACTAAATGCATACATTTTTTATGAAAAATAGCAAGCTTTTTTCAAAATCAATACTAAGGACTCCTGTTTCATGCTTCAAACAGGATACTTGCAAGACATGAGATCTCAGAACAGTGCTCAGGTATGGATTTAAATGCTGAATCTTGGAAGAAGGCATCAGCTGAATCACTACAAACACTTCCTGCATTGCTTTGCTGGGCAAATCTATAACTGATACACATAAGAAATAATCTGTATGTTTAAGGGATCACTGAATAGGCAAGTCTAATTAAAATAAATTCTTCTGGAATAGTAAGCTTCAGTAAAAACAAGACTGGTATCCTCATAAAAAACTTGTGTGTATAGCTCCCATTTAAGCTGTAAGTCTTGCTGACAAAGCCCATACATCAGTGTAACAGATGCTGGAAACCAGTACAGCGTTATTTGCTTTGATAGAACTTGCAATATTTGATAAGCTACTTACCCAGATCCCCATATACTTGTGAGGTGTGATACTGCGGAATGTACTGCGTTGCCATGTCACCGGCTCCGGTCACGGGTGAGTATATATGACGTGGTGGAGGGGGTATCATGGCTGGAAGAGGCAGGAAGCCAGGCAGTGGGGGATGCGGAGGCCTGTGTATCACTGCGTGACCACCAGGATGAAATTCCGGAGGCTGGGGAACCACCACAACCCTTCGAACACCGTTATCCTCAATAACCTGTACAGTGAGAGACACCACGCACCAAAAGAGAAATGACAGTCTGAAAGGTATGTTTCTATCGATACTTAAACAAACCTAGGAATAGTAAAACCCTTAATTTGAGAAAAGGAACACAGGAGAGCATAAGAAAAAAAAAAGACAGGGCAATTAAAGGACTACCTACATGAAGTATATTAACTGCAAAAATGCCATTAATTTCTCAATGTGATGGGGAAAAACACTGTTAAAAAAAATCTGACTGTAACAGCATCTTATAAACAACCAGATATATTTATGGCATGATCCTAGCTTTTCCCCACGGTCCTGTTTCCACCCTCATTGACATCGCTTGTATGCTACACTGCTCCTAGGATTTGTTCTACAGTGTAACAACTAGATTGCTCCCTAGAAGTGATTCGGTGGGAGGACAGACCTCACTCCGCACAAACAGTGAGGGAAAAGGCACAACAGTGTCTGGTCTTTGCTCTGTTCCCAACACGGTCCACCAACGCTAACCCAGGAGGCACTTGCCACACAGCACCCGTTAGCGTGCAGCAGCCTTCATCTGCATCAAGCTGTTAGAGAAAAAAAACCTAGCAGGATGGTAGTCAGCCCTCTCAAGACTCCTCCGCAACTCAAGGTAGTTTTGAAAAAGAGAAGGTGTTTTTCTTTTCTCCCCGCCCCACCTGTTAAAATGTCTCGCACCCTGAAGGAAACCACATGCTACTCAGGAACGGGGGCCGTTGTGACAGCCTCTGCCAGACTCTGGTGTGCAAAGAGACTTCTTGCGCAAAAACGGCAAATGGAAGATGTGACACGACAGCCTTCGGCCGAGGGACCTAAGCGCAGCCCTTAGCAAAGTTGCTAGAAGTTCGAAGAAGCGAAAGCAGCATACGCAATCCCACGATGAGAGTAAGTGTGGTCATGCAAGATGCACGGAGCTGAGGTGTGCTGGGCACAGTACATGCAGCACGCAGGGCTCTGGCGGAGAGCAGGGCACAAAGGCACATCCTCTAGAAAGTACTGAAGCAGAAAATGCTCCTCGCTAAACGAGGGTCGGTCATCAACCGGACCAGAAACAGGGGACCGGTCCTGTAGCACATCACAGACAGGGAAGAACACCATCATTATCCTCTCTAGATGTCTGTGTCACTACTGGTAAATTCACAAAAGTACATGACTGTTGGCAATATCTAGAGATTATCTTGGCGTAATTTGACTTGTATGTATTGCGGTGTCCAATAACTTTAGTGTCTGGGATGCCAATGCATAAATTGTTCTCCACTTCCTAGTAAAATGCTGTAAAATAATGCCACAGCAGGGACCGCAATGTAAGTTTTTGGATTAAACTTTTATCCAGAAAAGGGGGAGAAGAACAGAATCTGGAATATCATGACTACATTCAAAAGCAGGGGACAAGGCAACCCTATGTTGTAAGTGTACACTGACATTTGAAATGAGGTGGGGACATGTACGTGTACACCAATGTCCACCTGGTGCAACAGAAGCAACTCAACAGATCAAAGCACTTAGTGCTAAGCTGCTTTCAACTCCACTGTTTAAGCTTAAGGGTATTATGCTTGGCTAGATTTAGTCCCATGCCCTGGTGTGAACACCTCCGCCAAGCCCATGACAGAAAGCGGCTTAGAGGATCAATCATTGGTTTCACCATGTCTCCATAAGGGGTTGGTGTGCATCTGGTACATCTGGAACAGAGCTTCTGCTTTTGTTTTCTCTGACAGAAATCTAATCTGTACACCCCAAAATTATCCTGGTAGCTGAACCAATGCAAGGTAAGTGAGGTTGGTGTAGGAAATTGTTTCAAAACTTCACTACTGTACTGCAAAGACGGTTACGTAGACACAGCTGTATGCTTCTGGTGTAATGGCAGAATGAAGATCTCTATGCATGTGCAATAACATTCAGAAGACATAAAAGTATGTGCACAATGGAGCTGATCCCACCTTACTTACATAAATAGAGTGCTGGAAATTAATATAAATGAACGAAGCGAACACAGCTTTAAAATACATACATACCGCGTGACTTTAAAAGATGGGCTGACTATTTTCAGTATACAGAAATTGTCCCTTATTGGGAAAGAGTAATTTCACTAAAGACAACACTCTTCATATCTGTGCAACCACAGCTGTGTGGTATCCTAAAGGCAGGATATATTAATAGCAGTAAATACAACTAGGACTTCTGCTGTCCAATGAAATTCTCTAAACACTGCAATGTAGTTTTAATTATTTAAGTCCTTTTTGCTTACCAAAAAAAATTACATAATTTATCATTATTTTATGAGGAGATTCAGATTATGTAGGAAGCAGATTCCATTAAAAACCAGGTTACTTAGTTTATAATTTATTTGTTTTCTTGGGTCTGCTAATAGCCTAAGTAACTCAGAAATAGATACCAAATTCATAGCAGCAGAGACCTTAAGTTCAATAGTTTAAAATGAAGAGTTTGACAAGTCTCTAACTGTGCCTCTAAATCAAACATCAACTCAATGGTAGGCCTCTACCAGGCAACTACACAGATAAAAACACTCCAAAAAGCAATAAGGGCATCATGTCAAGTATATAATTTTAAGTTAAAAAAAACAACCACAAGCTATCTATTATCCTAATTGTGCTAGCAAAACATGTATTCTGGCATAGGCCTGTTTGGTTGAGTGAGCCAACCAAACTTCACTGGAAAACTCACTACAGACAGTGAATATAGACAGCTTAGAGAGGATGAATAAAGATGTGCTTTCTTTCAGAGTTCTAAAACTACAGTTCCAAAAGAAGAGGAAGGGAAAAGTAAATCAACTTATGAATTGCTTTTTATTTATGTGATATAAGAAAAATAAATATGCTTTATTCTGTAGTCATCCCCAACTTCTAACAGAGGACAGTGCGCTGTATCACTGCCAAACAGGAATTGAAGCAAGCAGAGGCAGAGTACAACTAAATGAAAATGGATAGACAAAAGATGGTTGCGCTGAAGTTGTTCTTCCAGCCTGATGGCTTTAGACATTTAGCTGGTTTCCAATTTCTCTCAAAATATATCTCCAGTTGCTGACATTTAAAAATATACTATGTCTGAAGAAGCCATGTAAGTTACTTTGCTGAGACTGCATTAAGTCTGGGATAACTCTTCGCTCAATAGTGTCAGACCTTCCTGTTTGCAAGACTCCTCTATCAAATCTTCTGGCTTGTAACAGGAACCTCCATCATAAACCACAACAGCTGGTATGTTTTGCCAGCAGTAAATACTTCAGAAGCCTTATAAACTACAGGTTTTCCTGGACTATGATACTTCTACTCAGACAAAAACAGCAGATGTGAGCTCGTTCCACCTGTACTGTCAGCTGCATAGATGTGAGGCACCTTCAGTTCAAAAGTCAGAGCACTGTGTTAGCAAAACACCTGCTTGCACTAACAAGCTCCAACAAAAGGCTAACGAGCATGCCTCAGCAAGGCCCAGTCCTTCAGCCTGTCTGCTGCAAGCTGTCCTCAAAGGAAGGATAAATTCATTTTATAAATATTATTCAGATTGGCACAGGTTACACAACTTTTTAAACATTAAGTACTTCATCAACTGAAATTAAGTACTCAAGAAATATGGTGGAATTCAGAATTTCCCTTATCTCAAAAATTCTTCCAGTTCTTTAAAAATGAATTCTAATAGGAATCAAGACTTTTTACTATGCTCTAAAGATAAATGAACTTTCATGATTATTTTTAATTCATTTTTCTTCTGCCTGTTTGGGAATTCAACTCCTAACTATTCAAGGATACATGAATCAACGTATCAGCCAACTTTCACCAGATGAAAGGTAAAACCACAGAATATTAGTCTGCCTAACCTAACAGCCTTTTCTTTTGCTAGAGGACAATTTTTTATACCATTCAGTTAATTAGTCCAACATCTGCTAGACGCTGTGGGTTTTTTGGTTGCATTTTACATGTTGTAGTCTCTTCTCAGTGTACACCGTGGGATGCATGTCAGAGGTAGACTGCTCAAACAACAGAACATCATGAGAAAGGCTGACATTATGGAGAGTGGTATTCATCTGCTCTAACTTCCAGGTCTGACCTACTGACCCCTAGACTTGTTCTATAGTTGAGGTGAGAAAGAGAGACCATCTAAAAGGCCACACAACTCATTATTATACAGGTGTCACAAATTGCCAAGAGGAATCATCCCTTTAATCTACTTTAAAGGATGTCCAGGTTATCTAGCTCTCATTTAATTTTCAGGCATCTAAATTAGGAATCACACCACAGTGAGAAAATGAGAGCCCCAGTTTAAGATAAGCTGTGGAAACACGTACTGTATGATAATTTATCTCCAATGGACAGCTGACATTTTTTCAATGTTGTCTGCTACTTTTTCTAACTGATCTGTTTCACTCCCTACCTGCAGAGAACGTCCCAGACATGAACTATGTACACACATAAAATTATAATGGTGCCAAGAAAAAACATCCACTAACACAGAAATCAGTACAGGTCCTGCACAATGAGCTATTTGGGTCATGATTGCATTTTATATTCAGAGGGCATCTAGTACATTAGAATCCCGAACTCAACAAGGACCTGTGCTTATTATTGTCATGTAAGAAGTTAATATATCGCTAAGCAGGCACATATACAGTGTGATATGTCTCCCATCACAGAGATGCTATGCACATCTCCCCTTACTTGCTTGACCACAGTGACTCTGAAACTTGACACATTAATTCACTGAATTAGCTATTAAGGTTCTACTCTCATAATCTGCATTAAAAGAAATAAAATAAGAATCAAATGAAGAGACATACCTGTGGGGCATATCCAGGAGGCACATAAATAGTAGGCACTGAACCATTTGGGGACATCATTGGAACCTGAGCAGGACCTAAATGGGTTACAGAAACATTCAGTATAGCACCATTTAATAATTTGAGAAAGTTTAAAGAACATACTGAACTGCAAAGTCTTTGCGAAAACTATACAAGATAACATGGATAAACAAAGGCAATGAACTGTACAGATAAAATTATAGCAAAGGGCACTCTCAGAAACCTCAGAAACAGTTAGGAACACCCGCCCTGCCCCCGAAACAAACCTAAAAAAATTCACCAGCACATATTTCTCCCTCCTTTGTCAGTAAGCTCACAGAAGAGCTTATGTCAAAACTTCTTAACAGGTGACAAGTCAAAAGAAGTGTCCCACGATGAAAAGACAACAGAAGAGACTTTAAAACAGAAACAAACCAAACCAAACCATTTGAAACAAACTGCTGAAACCAGACAGTATTCAGTTAAGAGTTGTCAAGAAAATTACTTACAAAATTGCTGCTCTGTTAGTATGGTCTTATCACCTAAAGTGGTCTCAGTACCACAGCAGTGAAAGGCAGCAAACAGGACACTAACTTAAGGTCCCAAGTGAAAGCCAGTGTATTACAAACCAGTAAGTCTACTGCTACTAATGGGATAGTTGTGATACCATGATGATCCTTGTACCATGCAAACCAGAAAGAACAGAGTTCACAGACACTTAGATAAATATGACAACGGGAATGTGTTAAGGTGGCATTTGTAGACAGAAGTACTGCCTGGAAAATCTGATACCTTCAAAGAGCACAGGGACACTGTCACAAACCTGAATTTTCAAAAAGCTTTTGACAACCTCTCTCAAAAACTCTTGAAGTAGTAATGCTGCCTTTGGTTAAAAAGGGAAGAAGGCTTTTCATGAATAACTAACTGTCTTGAACACAGGAAACAATGAGAAGTAAATGATCAGCTTTCAAAGTGCCTAGAGTGACCAGAGGACTCCCAACGGCATGCAAAGAAGAACCTGTTCAATGTATTAACAAAACTTCTGGAAAAGGACATGAACAGCGAGGTGACAAATTTTTGGTATGCTCTCAGAGAGCTGCAAAGGGTCTCACAGTACTCAGTGACGGGATGATAAAAAAGCAGAAGAAATAGCAGTGGTAAGTGCAAAGTAACACACCTGGACAAAACCAGAAGTATTTAGTTACAGTGATGAGCTATAAATTAGCTGTAAATAAACAGACTATGGAGTTACTACATATATTTCTAAGGAAATACCAGCCGAGCATTATTCAGTGGCATTCGCAGGAAGAAAGAGAACATTAAAAATCATTACTAACAGAACAGAGAACAAGCAGAAAACATTATTACACTATGGTATAAATCCACGCTGTACCTCAATACTGAGCGCTATGTTTGTCTCCACCTTTCAAAAAGAACACACAGAACAAGAAAAGGACAAAAAAAAAAGTTTACAGTGGCTTTCCACCTGTTTATCAGGACAGATTAAAGAGACCAGGATTCTTCCACCTGAAGATGGTTAAAAAGTAAAAGTGCTGGCAGCAGAGGAATACTAAGAGACCTATATCCCCCACCCCACCCCCAAACTGCCTAAAAAGGGGAAGATAGATAATTTACAGTTTCTCACGTCCAAGAAGCAGAGATATTAAATTAAATCACCAGGTAAAAGGTTTAAAGCAGATAAAGAAATTTCTCATGAAATGCACAGCTAGATTGTCTAACTCCTTGCTGTAAGAACATTATGGAAACTAAAGGTTAGGTTGAGGAGAAATTAAGTGAACTGAGAGAGGTAATCCATTAAGAGCTGTAAAAAATACAAGTATAACTTTTGGTTCAGGAAGCCAGAAACAAGAAAGTTATTTTTGTGTGCCTGCCCTATCCTTATGCTCTCCCCTTCAGTATTCGATACTGGCCTCTGTCAGAGCAAGCACACTGACACAGACTTCAAGAGGGACTGCCTACAGATGTCTTTACACTCTTGTCTTTAAAATACACAAGGCAACAATCGCTGAAGTTTAATTATTAAAGAAAAACTGAAACGCAATATAATCTGACCAGGTTTATGGCAAGCACATAAGGTTGGGATTCAGACACTCCAGGCTGCATTCTCCAAATGTCCAATTCAGTGTAGTGAAGCTACCAAAAGCACCAAATCCAAGTCTTAGTGAAGTTCACTAATACTTCTGAAATGGCATTCACAGTTCCACATTAATGTTTTACAAACTCAGTTAAGATCTGCAAATGGAAAGTACTAAGTAAATGCAAAGTACGGTATATAAGATTAGCATACCTCATTCTGATAAATATGAGCTTGGCAGAAAAACAAAGATAACTGTGCCAGAATGCCAAGAGCGGGGGAAAAGGAACAAAAAGCATTCTTGAAAAAAGTAGCATGTAATCCAACTTGATTACACATACTATAGGGACTTCTTTAGAATGAGATACAGAAGTTTTGAAATTTATTGCCTAAAAAGAATCACAGCTTTATTACCGACAAAGTGTTAACCCACAACTGGGGGGAAGGGGTGAAGAGACTTTTTAAGAATAAGGTCTTAATTGAAAGATTAACTGAACTGTATAACAGCAAAGAATATAAGAACTACAGTAAGCTATAAATTGAGAACTGAACCGTCTTTGGGTCTTCTTGCGCAGGTGAACCTCAAAAATGTTTCAGTGAAAGTCTCTCCTGAGTATGAACTGCTAAAAAGAAATGAAAGTGAAGTGCAAAGCAGTGAAAGAGAAGCTGAAAAAGTGCTTTAGAGTATCAGCTTACAATAAATTCAAAAAGGTCAACAGTAATGGAAGCATATTTATTGTAAGTTGCCATTCAACTAAATAATAGTTTAAATTCTTACATAAGTGGATTTTACACAGCTTGTATCTTGTATTGCTTATTTGTATTTTTTCCATAATGAATACAAAACACTGACACTTTTATTAAACTCACAATTTTAAACTATGTAAGTTTCAGGTAAATTGAGATTTAAGACCACAGTTACTTGAACTTTCTACAGCAAACTCAACGTCCTTGGAGGATGAAGAAACACTAACATGAACAGACTGTTTCTTTGTGAACTGCTGGGTATCTCTGTGTTTGGGGCTTTTGTTTTGTTTTGCTTTAAACGTCTGAAGAGTTTTGTTTAACAATCTTTTCAAAGCTTACTTTAACCTCTCTAACAAACAAAAAGCAGTTATCTCCAATCCAGTACAAAGGTTGATCCACAAAGCCATTTTCAGTATACCTACAATCTAGCAGTAACGAAAATAAAGACATAAAGGCAACGTATGAACCTCAAAAATTATTCCGTTTTAGAACAGAGTCAAATTAGTAGTTTGAAAACTTGCATCCCATGTTTAGCACTTTAAAGTTCCAGAATTAATGAAAATGTATTTTTAATATTCAAGAGGTAAGGGTGAACTCTAATTTACTTCTGATTAGATTTCCAAGCGGCTGTGGAATGAAGTTAGATTGCAGAGGAACATTCAAGAATATGGAAAGCATGGAAGAAAAGTTGGCAGACTTTATATATTTTAATGAGCACATGGTCTTTACAGTGAAATTACTGATTTCTTGAGAGAAAGCATATTACTACCTGCAAAAATTAAAATAAGCTTTCCTGTATCTAAAGATAAAATCCTAATACACTATAAAACCAGGTTTTTTCTTCCTTTTAACAACTAATGTGAAGATCTTGGCTCTACTTCAGTAGAATACACTGCAAGAAGAATCGTCATGCTTTTGGTTATTGGCTAGAGTGGTGCATGACAAAGCCAGCATGTTTTACCGTGAGGTGAGACTGATTATAAAGTACCATCAAACAAGAGCATCATGAATTTGTGTTAAGCAAACATCTAATTTTCTATGTTGCACATAAATGGAACTGACTTCATCCAAATCACTGTATTATGAATGTTGACAACTTGACTGTTTCAAGAGGACGTCTCGAATCTTCTCTATACTTTCAAGTATAGAGTTCTCTTATATAAGAAGTGGAGAAGAAGTGTTGTGGGAGACAAAACAAACACAAAGCTGTGTTCTGTACTTCATTCTTGAAAAATGACTCATCAAACACAGCAAAGGTTTATTTAACTCGATTGGACCGGAGAAACAGATGTTTCGCCACACTTTGTTATTGTCCTGAGATTTGCTATTTTGCTAGTACGAAAGGGAAAACTTGTAAAGTCTCTGCGTAAGCGTTCTGTCCCAAGTTTAAAAAAACCCAACCAAACAAAAAAACCCAACAAAAGCCCCACGGTGCTTATGAAAGATCACCTAAAACGCGGAATACGTGTCCCGAAACAGGAAATACATAAGAAGAACCGCAACAAGGGGAGGAATACCGCGCCGCCCGCCGAGCCCCCAGCAGCAGCAGGTGAAGCTCCCCAGCAGGTCCAAACCTCGTCAGGGCCACCACGACCGAACAGCGCTGCGTAAGGGCGAGGATCGCGACAAACCCACCGACCGCCCCGACGCCGGAGGACGCCGCCTGCCCAACCGCTACGCGATGCCTTTTTTTATTTTCTCTGAAAG